CCGCGCCCGGCCCTAAAGTTGGATTATTATGCCAACATTTGGAGCTCTGTGGAGTTATTTCTATTGTCTACTGGTTTTGCTGGTTTTCATTCATGCTGTATTATCTTTTCATGGGCCGGAAACCGTATGTGCAAAATACAATGCAAAAAATTGCTTATAGCAATAACTTGAGGTCTGTGATGTCTTCCTCCAGAAAGGCATTAATTCTGCTTCTGCCAGATTTCTTCAGAGTCACTGGCATTTCCCCCAGTTGCAGGGATTAAGATGATTTGAAGCTGATTCCAATTTGTCTACTTCTAATTCACCCTTACTTCCAAGGTTCAGCTGTTCCACATCTCAACTTGAGAAGGTTCATTAGGGCCGCTTTGTAAATTTTTTGAGACGGAGTTTTGTTCTTGTAGCCCAGGCTGGAGTGCAATGGTGTGATCTTGACTCACTGCAACCTCCACCTCCTGGGTTCAAGTGATTCTCCTGCCTCAGCCTCCTGAGTAGCTGGGATTACAGGCACTTGCCATGATGCCTGGCTAATTTTGTATTTTTTTTAGTACAGATTGGGTTTCTTCATGTTGTCCAGGCTGGTCTCAAACTCCAGACCTCAGGTGATCCACCCACCTTGGCCTCCCAAAGTGCTGGGATTATAGGCATGAGGCACCACTCCTGGCCAGGGCTTCTTATTTTGGCTATCCCTAAACTTCAATCACTGCCCTCCTGTTTAAAAAAATTCAGGGAAAAAGTAGTCCCAAACACCAATTTATTATCTCTTCTATAGCTATAAGCAAATTTGTTTTATTTCCAGTTGTCTTCATGAAGGGGCTGGACCAAATCGCAAGAATGAAACTCTACTTAACCTTCTGAGCCTCAGTTTTCTCTAGATGAAGATCTAGGTATGCCTGTTGGATTTGGCAACAGGAAAATCATTAGCGACTTTGACGTGAGAAGTCTTTGTGGAATGGTAGAGATGAAAGTCATTTTGGAATAGGGTGGGAGTGAACAGAGTGAGGCAGTAAAAACAGCATTTTTGGGGCAGCTCTTTCAAGAAGTTTGACTATGGAGGAAAGCAGATAAATGAGGTGGAGTAAGAAGAGAAATGATATAGGTCGAGGAAGAATTTTAAGAGTGAGAGATACCAGAGCATGTTTGTTTGCTGATGGGAACGCCTATGCTGATGTGTACATTTCCCATCCTCACAACAGGTATACTTCTCACAGTAAATTAACAAAATGGCTTCTCTGTCTGTGTTAGTACTGTTTTAATTAGCATGAGTCAGAGCCCAGGGGCTCAGCTCTAACCAGCTTTTTTTTTTTTTTTTTTTTTTTTTGCAACGGATTCCCACTGTTGCCCAGGCTGGAGTGTAGTGGCATGATCTCGGCTTGCTGCATCCTCTGCCTCCTGGGTTCAAGCAATTCTCCAGCCTCAGCCTTCTGAGTATCTGGGATTACAAGTGTCTGCCACCACACCGGGCTGATTTTTGTATTTTTAGTAGAGATGGGATTTCATTATGTTGGCCAGGCTGGTCTCAAACTCCTGATCGCAGGTGATCCACCCACCTTGGCCTCCCAAAGTGCTGGGATTACAGATGTAAACCACTGCACCTGGTCTGACCAGCCTTTCTTATCACATCCACAGTCACTGCCATTTCTTTCTCTTTTCACTCCTATATCATCCTTAAACATGTCACCCTCCACTTAGTAACGCCTCTTCCCCCTCAAGCTCCATTTTCCAACCTGTCTCTCCAACCTCACCCTCCTCACCCTTGGTTTCACCCCCTACAGCAGGCTGCTACATGAGGTAAGGCTGGCCTGTCTGGGAAAGAGATGCTTTGGTTGCAGGTGGTAGGGGCTCTAAGCATCAGAGCTTGAATGTTTGGTCTGGGCCAACTGTCCCAGTGGGACTCAGTGCCTGGGAAGGCTCTGTTTTCCTTGGCTGAGATCCCCTGGGGCAGCATTTGAGCCAGAACTACAGTTCCAGGGAGACGAAGGTAGGACAGACATCCTGGACTGGTGAGCCAGGGCTGGGCTGTGCCAGGGCCTTTGTTTCTAACTTGGGAGAGGCTTCATGTTTCTGCCCTTTTTCTAAGAACTGTGGATGTGCCACGTGGGCACCACAGTGACCAAGTCAACAAGAAAAACAATACCCGGGGGAAAATCTTACTCCTTAAGTCACAGGACTGTGTGTGTGTGTGTCTTTGTGTGTGTGTATGTCAAAGTTTCCATGTCTATCACATTATTTTATGTGTTTCTGTATATGCATTTCTTACCTGTGTATGTACCTATATGTGTATTTCTTACCTGTTTCTGTGTGTGTATCTCTAGTGACCCCAGGATGGTGTCACCAACAGCCACATCTTATCAAAGTACTTCCCCTCCCACTATACATGATAGGAAGGAAGAAAGGGGAATTGTGAGCTTGCCAGACACCCCAAAATATGTCCATTGCAATAAGAGAATAGGGAATCCCAGGCTGCTCCAAGGGTAGGAATAATATGGGGAATGAGACTAGAACCCTCCCCTTTGTCTAATGAAAGAAAGACCAAGCATCCCAGGCATACAAGTTTAGGATTTATTCTGTGCCCTACTGGAAAGTAGAAAAGCAGTCTGGATAAGGAGATGAGAGATGCCATTTTAAAAAAAGAACAACAGTGGGAAAGTACTTTCCCTGGAAGCTGCTGGGGCTCTTGTGGCCTGGCCCTGTGGATTCTGTCTGTACAGATCCCAGATCAAAGGTGTGCTAAGGGAAGCCTCTAGAACCACAAGTGCTAACAAGTCATGATGTGGGAAACAGGCCTCCCAGTTGAGCTCCAGCCTTGAGGGAAGAACCCTTTCTGTGTAAATAAAGGAGGTGCTCGCTACACACTCCATTGTGGCTTTGTGTCACAGAGGCTGAACTGGCCAGTGAGACACAAACAGGGATTTCAGAGGTCAAGACAAAGTGGACTGCTGGAGACCAGCCAGCTTCCAGCTGGTGGAGCATGAGCAGGGTACAAGCCCATCTGTGAGAGCAGTATCGCACTAAAGAATTCCTCATTCCAAAACGGACCAATTTTAGACTTTATTTTGACTTAGAGTATTTATTTTCTTATTGTGGTAAGAAAGATAAATAATAGAAGGGCTTTGACATCTTAATATATAATAATAGGCCAGGCACAATGGCTCACACCTGTAATCCCAGAACTTTGGGAAGCCCAGGAGGGAGGATAGCTTGAGGCCAGAAGTTCAAGACCAGCCTGGGCAACATAGCAAGACGACATCTCTACAACAACAACAACAACAACGACAACGACAACCACCATCTCTTAACTCAGTGCTCACTACATGCCAGGCACTGTTGTGTTTTGTACGTATTAACTCATTTAACCCCCATAACTTATAACTCATGTTCTGCAAAAAGCAGACAGAATTATGTGATTTTTTTCTCGACTTTGCCTTGTTATATCATGTTAGATAAAACTGGTCTAGTTTAATAGGAAATAATGCCAACCTTTTGTCCCATTTTGGCACTCAAATATTGACTTTCCCTTCTACAGTACAGGACCAAGAATCTCTCTCCCTCCCACCTCGTTTCCTTAATCACCAATCAGACGTTTGGAGGCCAGGTTTACAATGGTAGTTTTTCCTGTGGCTGTCCTGCCCTCTGCTGGATTCAAGAGATAGATTGCAGATACGTGGGTTTACAGGAGGGGGTCTATTTACCGGAAAGCGGGGCGGATCACGAGACCGGATTTCCCTCTGGGTTACTTTTGTTCACTAGAAATCTGGTCTGGGAGGTTGTGATCCAGCCTCTGACTATGCAGTAAGGATTCTTGGCGAATACAATTGCCTGGTTTAGAGTTTAGAAGTTGTCTCTGTGTGTGCCTGCTTGTTTATTTATATATGGATAGAGAGATGTGAGAGACCTCATTTATCTAGGATTAAAAACAAAATTTCCTATGCAAATTTATCTTCAGGAATTGGCAAAATTTATCAACTTATGAACAAGAGATCAGCAACATGAAGAAAGCTATACTTTTGGGTATGGAAAAGGCATGGAAATGGATGGATTATTGGAATACTTACATAAGTAGCCAGTTCAGGGAAGGGAAACTAGGTATAGATTGTAATTTCATTATACATAGTAACAAAAATGTCATATTCCACTTTCTTATTACAGAATAAACATGAATGAGGAGGGTTTGCGATGCCAGGAGGATTGATTGTCAATCAGGGGTTAAAAATCCAATATATCGAAGAAGCAAAGGATAAATATACATCTGTGGCTGCTTGCTAGTCATGACAAAGTTTCATTTCTCAAGAATGGTGCCCATAATCACATTGACATGCATGTATAAACTACAAGCAAAGCAGCAAATAAATTCTGACTTGAAACAGGCCACTTGGCACCAGGGATTATCTCAAGCAGCATGTGATGCAGAGTATAATTCACACTCTCTACCCTCCGCTGCCCCACCTTTTCTTTTTTCCTTTTTAGTTTTTTTCAAAAAAATTAAATTTCCTTTCTCTTTTTTTCTTTTTTTTTTTTTTGAGATGGAATCTCACTCTGTCGCCCAGGCTGGAAGTGCAGTGGTGCCATCTCGGCTCACCGCAACCTCCGCCTTCTGGGTTCAAGCGATTCTCCTGTTTCAGCCTCCCGAGTAGCTGGAATTACAAGCGTGTGCCACCATGCCCGGCTAATTTTTGTATTTTTAGTAGAGAAGGGGTTTCACCATGTTGCCCAGGCTGGTCTCCAACTCCTGACCTTAGGTGATCCACCCGCCTCGACCTCCCAAAGCGCTGGAAGTACAGTTGTGAGCCACCGCGCCCAGCCCCAGTGCTTTTGTTTTTCACTGCATTTCTGAGCTGTATGGCGCCCAGTGCTTTTAAACAGTCTTTCTCCTGGAGCTTATTTCTCTAGGGCAGGGGCATAAACTCCACCCTCTGACAGTCCCTCAAGGCCCCGCCCTTGCGCGCACCGCGCCCCTCTTTTTGTTCATTTCGTCTGAAGGGCAGGCGCCGGACTCTGCTTGCCGACACAAGCGGAAGTGACGTAAGGCGACCGCCGGATGTGTCGTTGCTGTGTTGCGCGACTGGCCTTGAGGGAGAGCTGGGGCCTGTTCCCTGAGAGATACAGCTATGTCGATCGAAATCGAATCCTCGGAGTGAGTCCTGCGGTGGGGATGTTCCCGCCTTGCGGGGCACCCGGAGGTTAAGGGTGTGGGGCGGAGGGTATTCGGGAGAAGGCATTGGAGAGGCTAGGGAGTGGAGGGCCATTTCCTTTGGCCCAAAGAAGCATCTTGGATCTGGCTACCTCGGAGGTGGGCCGGCAAGAAGGTAGCCACTCTCAGACGTGAAGCCCAAAGTCTCAAGGGAGGTGGCATGGGGTGGGGAAAACACCTTGCAGACCTGAGTTCTGTCCTTGGCCGACTGTGCTGTGATTGACCAAATTAAGGATCCACTCTGGCCTCCAGTCTAATTATCGCATAGGGGACTTGGTCTCTTTAAGCCTTGCTTCTCTGCCTGCCCAACTTATGTGAAGTGATTCCTTTCTTCCTCTGTGCTTACACGGTCTCTTTGCTTTCCTCCGCCTAGCGTTTATCACTCAATATTGTCATTGTTTGATAACCTCACCCCAAACTAGCTTTGACGGTGCCTAGGGGCTCGTTTTCCTTGTGGTCTCAGTGTTTAGCATACTTTAGAGGAAGAGTTAATTGCTTTTGGAATGAATGAACAACTAGCTATTTTATCAGGCCCTGAATTTTGGTTTGTCTGTGAGCTCTCTGTAGCCGTAAAGGAGAGACAGTCTCTGGAGACTGGGCTAGAAAGAAGAATTTTGAGGGAATGAGGGTGAGAAGTAGTGACTGAAGACCTTTAGTGTGCTTTTCCAGAACCCCATCCTCCACCTGTCCTTGCCAACACTTAATAATGATTAGATTAATAAATATAATTGTGAGAGAGGACCTTTTTTGGAGACTTTTTGTGTGTGTGTGTGTGTATGAGACGGAGTCTCACTCTGTCACCCAGGCTGGAGTGCAGTGGCGCGATATCAGCTCACTGCAACCTCCGCCTCCCGGGTTCACGCATTTCTCCTGCCTCAGCCTCCCAAGTGGCTGAAACTACAGCCGCCCGCCACCATGCCCGGCTACTTTTTTGGTGTATTTTTAGTAGAGGGGGTTTCACTATGTTGGCCAGGCTGGTCTCGAACTCCTGACCTCTTGATCCTCCCACTTCAGCCTCCCAAAGTGCTGGGATTACAGTTGTGAGCCACTGCACCTGGCCCTTTTTTGGAGACTTTTCATAAGAGGAAGGGAAGTTTATGCCTTCTGCAAATACTGAAATCTATATGTTGTTATAGACGCTGGAAATACAGTAGTGAACAAAACAGACAAAAATCCTTCCTCTCATAGAACATACATTGTGACTGGGGAAGGCAAGCAATAGACAAAAACGATAAATAAAATATGAAATGTAACAGATGGTGGTAAATGCTTTGGACAAAAATGAAACAAAGAAGAATGATAGGGAGTGCTGGAGATTACAACCACTAGGTCAAGAAGGAGTTGGAAAGGATTCCATGCTTTGGGGCCTGAGTGGTACCTGTAATGACCATTCTCCCGGTCTTGACCTCGGCTGTAGCAGTAATGGCTACTGCATGTTTTGTTTTGTTTTGTTTTGTTTTGAGACGGAGTTTCGCTCTTGTTACCCAGGCTGGAGTGCAATGGCGCGATCTCGGCTCACCGCAACCTCCGCCTCCCGGGTTCAGGCAATTCTCCTGCCCCAGCCTCCTGAGTCGCTGGGATTACAGGCACACGCCACCATGCCCAGCTAATTTTTTGTATTTTTAGTAGAGACGGGGTTTCACCATGTTGACCAGGATGGTCTCGATCTCTTGACCTCGTGATCCACCAGCCTGGGCCTCCCACAGTGCTGGGATTACAGGCTTGAGCCACCGCGCCCGGCCTTGTTTTGTTTTTAATTAATAATAGTTACTATTGGGCCGGGTGTGGAAGCTCATACCTGTAATCCCAGCACTTTGGGAGGCCGTGACGGACAGATCACAAAGTCAGGAGTTTGAAAACAGCCTGGCCAACATGGTGAAACCCTGTCTCTACTAAAAATTCAAATTTAGCCTGGCATGGTGGTGAACACCTGTAATCCCAGCTACTCCAGAGGCTGAGGCGGAAGAATTGCTTGAACCCGGGAGGCAGAGGTTGCAGTGAGCCAAGATCGGGCCATTGCACTCCAACCTGCGCAACAGAATGAGACTCAAAATAATAATAATAGCAGTTAGTATATACTAAGTACTTTCTGTGCTAAGTATGCTGTAAGTAGTATAATCAACCTTTTTATCAACCCTACAGGATAGGTATTTTTCTTAACAGATAAGGAAGCAGGCACAGAGATGTTAACTGACTTGTCCCAGGTCACGTAATTTTGATTCAAATCCCAGATTGTCTTCAAAGCTTTTAGCTCTTTATTTATTCGTTTGTGTTTGAAGGTAGAGAATTTGATTTTGGCTATGTCAAATGTGAGGTGTTTGAGGAGAGAAATGTCTTATTTTGGGAGTGCAAAATGAAAGTCACTGGAAATGTGCTAAGGAGGTTAGTATCATACCAGAATAGTAGGGGTCTAAGCTTGGATACCTGCATACCTCAGAAAGGGGCCATGAGAGAAAAAGGCTACTGCAAGTAGCAGCAATCAGTTCTCTTTTATAGTTGTTTTTAAGAAGATGGGCCAGACATTGTGGCTCACACCTATAATCCCAGTGCTTTGGGAAACTAAGGTGGATGGATCACTTGAGCTCAGGAGTTTGAGACCAGTCTGGTCAACATGGCAAAATCCCGTCTCTACAAAAAACACAAAAATTAGCTGGTGTGATGGTGCATACTTGTGGTCTCAGCTACTCAGGAGGCTGAGGCGAGAGGATCGCCTGATCCAAGGAAGTTGAGGCTGCAAAGAGCTGTGAGCACAACACTATTCTCCAGCCTGAGCGATGGAAGTGAGAACCTGTCTTTAAAAAAAAAAAAAGAAAAGAAAAGAAAAAAAGAAGAGAGTGTTTGCTTTCTCCTCAGGAATATATGTTCAAGAGCTACACTGCCAGTTTGAGTCCTGATTTTTCTACTTATTATCTCTATTATTTGGTCTCATCCTCTGTAATTTGGGGATAATAGTAAACTTTAAAAAAATTTTTTTTAACAGGACGACCACTATCAGATAATAGTAAACTTACCTCATAGATTTTATTTTATTTATTATTTTGAGACAGGCTCTTGCTGTCTTTCCCAGGCTGGAGTGCAGTGGCATGATGATGGCTCACTGCAGCCTCAACCTTAAGGGGCAAAAGCAGTGCTTCCACCCCAGCTTCCCAAGTAGCTGGGACCACAAGCACACACTAACATGCCTAGCTAATTTTTTTTTTTTTTTTTTGGTAGAGAAGGGGTCTCTTTATGTTGCCCATGCTGGTCTTGAGCTCTTGGGCTCAAAGGATCCTCCTAAATCAGCATAGCAAGTAGCTGGGACTACAGGCATGTGCCACCATGTTTGGCTAATTTTCTTTCTTTCTTTCTTTCTTTTTTTTTTTTTTTTTTTTTGAGACGGAGTTTCCCTCTTGTTACCCAGGCTGGAGTGCAATGGCGCGATCTCGGCTCACCGCAACCTCCGCCTCCTGAGTTCAGGCAATTCTCCTGCCTCAGCCTCCTGAGTAGCTGGGACTACAGGCACGCGCCACCATGCCCAGCTAATTTTTTGTAGTTTTAGTAGAGACAGGGTTTCACCATGTTGACCAGGATGGTCTTGATCTCTTGACCTTGTGATCCACCCACCTCGGCCTCCCAAAGTGCTGGGATTACAGGCTTGAGCCACTGCGCCCGGCCTAATTTTCAAAAATTTTTATAGAGATGGGGTCTCATAGCTGCCTGGTCTGGCCTCAAACTCCTGGTTTCCGGCAGTCCTCCTGCCTCAGCCTCCCAAAGTGCTGAGATTACAGTCATGAGCCAACGTGCCCAGCCTCATTGAGATTATTTTGTATCAATGACTAGACTAGTCATTTAAAGTATTTCAATGAAGTGTCCTATAATATAATCATAAGAATAAACAAGAAACTAGGCTCTAGATTAGGAAATAAGATAATCACCTTGATACCAACTCCCTTTCTAACTGACTGAGACATTAGACAAATGATTTCCCTTCACTGAACCCCAGTTCTGTCTCTAGGGTGGGGAGGTCCCCTTGTAATTTAGATTTTGTGACTTTGGAAAGTTTTACTCACATGATAAAGAAATGGTGGTGAAAGGAAATGATGAGTAGGAGCTGGGTAGGCTTTATTTTTGGCCTCTGGCGAGTGGGAATCCCTGAACTGAATGATTTGTTTTCTTTCAGTGTGATCCGCCTTATCATGCAGTACTTGAAGGAGAACAGTTTACATCGGGCATTAGCCACCTTGCAGGAGGAGACTACTGTGTCTCTGAATACTGTGGACAGCATTGAGAGTTTTGTGGCTGATATTAACAGTGGCCATTGGGATACTGTGTTGCAGGCTATACAGTCTCTGAAATTGCCAGACAAAACCCTCATTGACCTCTATGAACAGGTAAGAGTGGTCGTGATGCTGATCCCCATGGGTTGGTTTGTTGTGGGCCAGCTCCCTGACTGGAAAGCATCAGTGAGCTTTCCTTTAAGTACTGTAGGGCTGCATCAGCCCATAAAACTTACACTGGTTTGCTTTTGATTTAAAAAAGAAAAAAGAAAAAATTAAAATAAAAAACAAAAACTTACACTGGCAAGATTGACATTGTTATTTTTTCTCCCTTCTTGCAAATCCAAGATTTCCCAAATTAAAATTCTTCCTTTTTTTTTTTTTTTTTTTTAGACCGGGTCTTGTTCTGTTACCCACTGTGGAGTGCAGTGGCAAGATCATAGCTTGCTGCATCCTCCATTTCTAGGATCAGTCCTTCCTCCTGCCTCACCCTCCTGAGTAGCTAGGAGCACAGGCATGTGCCACCATGCCTGCCTAATTTTTGCAGTTTTTGTAGAGGCAGGGTCTCACCGTAATACTCAGGGTGATCTCAAACTCCTGGGTTCAAGCAGTTCGCCAGCCTTGACCTCACAAAGTGCTGGCATTATATAGGCATGAGAGAGCATCAACTTTCTAATCACACAGTTAACTAGCTCCTGTAACTAGCTCCTGCCTATCCTGAACATCTCCTTTGCACAAATCCAGGTGTGCTTCAAGGGGCCCAGGAGTAACAAAGATACTTGTATCACTGGTCAAATTCCAAGGGTTTTAGAAGCTCCAAGTCAAAAACCTAGGACAAAGATCAGACAAATTACTCATTATAAAACAACACAGTAGGCTTTCTGGAAATAAGATTGTAATTTGAAGTAAAAGTGGTGCGATCTCTGCTTACTGCAACCTCCGCCACCCGGGTTCAAGCGATTCTTCTGCCTCGGCCTCCTCGGTAGCTGGGATTACAGGTGTGCACCACCATGCCTGGCTAATTTTTGTATTTTTAGTAGAGATGGGGTTTCACCACATTGGACAGGCTGGTCTCAAACTCCTGACCTCAAGTGATCCACCTACTTTGGCCTCCCAAAGTGCTGGGATTACAGGTGTGGACTGCTGCGCCGGGGCAGTTTGTTTCTTTACATCCATATGAGTGCAATAATTCCCAAATTTTGGTAACTGGAGAAAGGTTTCTCTGGAGCCCATGGGGATATTCCCATCTTTAGCTTTCTTTAACATCTATATTCTGAGCAAGAAGCCTGAGAGGAGGGGAGATTGGTAGTTAAAAATGAAGGATGGAGTTTGAAGGATTGAAGTTATTATTTGTTTATTTTTTGAGAAAGAGTCTCTCTGTTGCCCAGGCTTGAGTGCAGTGATCTTGGCTCACTGCAACCTTTGCCTCCTGGGTTCAAGCAGTTCCCCTGCCTCAGCCTTCTAGGTAGCTGGAATTACAGACGTGCCACCACGCCCCGCAAATTTTTTTGTATCTTTAGTAAAGAGTGAGTTTCACCACATTGGCCAGGCTGGTTTCGAACTCCTGATCTCAATTGTTCCGCCCATCTTGGCCTCCCGAAGTGCTAGGACTACAGGCATGAGCCACTGTGGCTGGCCGAAGTTATTATTTATGATTACTTTAGTTGTCCACCTGAAATTGCTAGTGAAAAGGGAAAGGGGCACTTCCTGGTATTGGAAATCACTTTGACAGGCCATATCTGTGTTAGATATTTTACTGAAAAATATTAACGAGAATTTATTTAAACATCTAATTTTTTTTAAATTGTCCAGGTTGTTCTGGAATTGATAGAGCTCCGTGAATTGGGTGCTGCCAGGTCACTTTTGAGACAGACTGATCCCATGATAATGTTAAAACAAACACAGCCAGAGCGATATATTCATCTGGAGAACCTCTTGGCCAGGTCTTACTTTGATCCTCGTGAGGTATGACTGTGGTAATGAAAAGAAACTTTTTGTTAACTTTGGAAATGCAATAACATGATTTTTTTTTTTTTTTTTTTACCATTTTATTGGATACTTTTTGTGATTTTGATTTAATTTTTGAGAATGATGCTTCTCTGTTTATATATGTTGGCTGAAATTTGCATATGATAAGGACAATAATTTTGTTCGGTGTTCTGATTATTTGAGTCTTCTACATACCTCATTTTAGAGGATTGTGTGTTGATTAGTAAAAAAAGAAAATTTTATTCTGATGTCATTTCCACATTAGCCCTCCCTGAAATGCTGCCTGACTGCTGGTATGTTCACTGATCATTCCTGTCTCTTGCCCCTAACAGTTGCAGCTTCCTTCCAGCCTTTTTAGTCCCTGGAAGCTTATGCTTTTGTTTCTTAGCTGATTATGCTTACTAGTAGAGCATGATGATGGATGGTCTTTTATTCTTCCAAAACTTTATTATCTATATAGTTTCATTTTTCCTGCCTACCTCCCCAGCCTTTCACTAGAGGTTTGTCAAAATAGGAGGAAAAAGGATTAAAAAAAATTTTTTTTATGGGTACGTAGTAAGTATATATATTTATGGGGTACATGAGATATTTTGATATAGGCATGCAATGCATAATGGGGGTAATTGGGATATCACTCCAAGCATTTATCCTTTGTGTTACAAACAATTCAGTTCTTTTTTTTTTTTTTTTTTTTTTTGAGATGGAGTCTGACTCTGTTTCCCACACTGGAGTGCAGTGGCACAATCTTGGCTCACTGCAACCTCTGCCTCCTGGCCATTCTCTTGCTTCAGCCTCCTGAGTAGCTGGGATTACAGGCACACACCCATCACTCTGGCTCATTTTTGTATTTTCAGTAGAGACGGGGTTTTGCTATGTTGGTCAGGCTGGTCTCAAACCTTGTGATCCCCCCGCCTCAGCCTCCCAAAGTGCTGGGATTACAGGTGTGAGCCACTGTGCCCAGCACAAACAATTCAGTTCTTTGAGTTATTTTAAAATGTATAATTAAATTATTATTTTTTATTATTTTTTTTTTGGTCAGCATTTTCACAATTATTATTATTTTTTGAGATGGAGTCTTGCTCTGTCGCCAGGCTGGATTGCAGTGGCACGATCTTGGCTCACTGCAACCTCTGCTTCCTGGGTTCAAGTGATTTCTCCTGCCTCAGCCTCCCGAGTAGCTGGGACTACAGGCGCATGCCACCATGCCGACCTGATTTTTATATTTTTAGTAGAGGCGGGGTTTCATCCTGTTGGCCAGGATGGTCTTGATCCCTTAACCTCGTGATCCACCCGCCTTGGCCTCCCAAAGTGGGATTACAGGTGTGAGCCACTGGCCAATTCAATTATTATTGACTATAGTCACCCTGTTGTGCTATCAAATACTATTTAAAAAAAAATTTTTTTTTTAATTAATTTTTTTAAAGGCTTAGTCAAGTGAAGCAGTGGGAGTGGAGAAGGAACAAAGAAATCTGTAACTGGTTGTGATCAATTAGTTGTAAACACCACTGCACTCAGACCAGCCTAAATACTGTTTCTTATTCATTCATTCTTTATGTCTTTTGTATCCATTAACTATCACCGCTTTCCTTCTTGCCCCTCCACCTCTACCCTTCCCAGCCTCTGGTAACCATCCTTCTACTTTTCTATCTCCATGTTTTAGTTTTTAGCTCCCACAAATAAATGCGAAGTTTGTCTTTCTGTGCCTGGCTTATTTCACTTACCATAATGACTCCACTTCCATCCATGTTGTTGCAAATGCCTGGATCGCATTCCTTTTTATGGCTAAATGGTACTCCATTGTGTGTATGTACCACATTTTCTTTATCCATTTATCTGTTAATGGTCACTTACGTTGCTTCCTAATCTTGGTTATTGTGAACACTGCTGTAATAAACATGGGAGTGCAGATGTCTCTCTGATATACTGATTTCCTTTTGGGTGAATACCTAGCAGTGGGATTCCTGGATCATATGGTACCTTCATTTTTAGTTTTTTGAGCAACCTCCAAACTGTTCTCCATAGTGGTTATACTTATTTACCTTCCCACCAAGTGTACAAGGGTTCTTTTTTCTCCATTTACTTACCAGCATTTGTTATTTGTTATTTTCTGTCTTTTTGTATAAAAGCCATTTTAACTGGAGTGAGATGATATTTCATTATAGTTTGATTTGGATTTCTCTAATGATCAGTTGTGCTGCACACCTTTAGATAAACCTGTTTGCCTTGTGTATGTCTTTTTTTGAGAAATGTCTATTCAGATCCTTTGCCCATTTTAAAAATTGGATTATCAGATTTTTTTCCTATAGGGTTGTTTGAGCTCCTTATGTATTGTTTTTTGTTGTTATTATTTGTTTGTTTGTTTTGAGACAGAGTCTCTCACTCTGTTACCCAGGCTGGAGTGCAGTGGTGTGATCTTGGCTTACTGCAACGTCCACCTCCTGGGTTCAAGTGATGCTCATGCTTCAGCCACCAAGTAGCAGGGATTACAGGTGTGTGCCACCACATTCAGCTAATTTTTATATTTTCACCATGTTGGCCAAGTTGGTCTTGAACTACTGGCCTCAAGTGATCCACCTGCCTCGGCCTCCCAAAGTGCTGAGATTACAGGCGTGAGCCACCACACCTGGCTCTGTATTCCGGTTATTTATTTATTTATTTGAGATGGAGTCTTGCTGTTGTTGCCCAGGCTGGAGTGTAATGGCGTGATCTTGGCTCACTGCAACCTTTGCCTACTGGTTTCCAAGAATTCTCCTGCCTCAGTCTCCTGAGTAGCTGAGATTACAGGCACCCACCACCATGCCCGGTAATTTTTGTATTTTTAGTAGAGACGAGGTTTCACCGTGTTGGCCAGACTGGTCACAAACTCCTGACTTCAGGTGATCCACCCGCCTTGGCCTCCCAAAGTGCTGGGGTTATAGACATGAGCCACTGTGCCCAGTCATATTGTGGTTATTAATCCCTTGTCAGGTGGGTAGTTTGCAAATATTTTCTCATGAGGAAAAAGAACTTAGTAGGCACTGGATAGTAGAATGTTAAAGTAAATATACAAGAATTATGATGATAAAGGAAAGGAATTTAGATTACCAGGATAGGATTTAAGTTAGAGGTGGTGAAGCACTTCTGTGCTGGGAGTTATTTAAGAAATTACTGAAGAATATACTTTTCCACTCCCACTGCTTCACTTGACTAGCCTTAAAAAAAAAAAAAAAAGAATATAAAAGAATTCTTGGTTCTGCAAATTTTTCAAAAACTGGAAAAACAACTCTGGCTTTAATATGGTTTACTTGGACTCTTTTCAGAAAAATAGCAGTGTGTCCTTTGCCCAGGAACTCACTGAAAAAACAATATTAATATGGCTTGGCTGACCTTAGTTTTCTCCCAACTCATGCTTTTGAAATGCAAGTGGGCAGAATTGGGAAGTCATTTTTAAAAACTAAATTGTTTTAACTAATCCCCTCTTTAAATGGATAATTTCTTTTCACACTTTCCTCTGTGTATGCTTCTGCTTGTTTTAAATAAGCACATTCATATCTTATTGCTTCTTGAAAATGATGCTACATTTTCTCATTTTTCAGGCATACCCAGATGGAAGTAGCAAAGAAAAGAGAAGAGCAGCAATTGCGCAGGCCTTAGCTGGTGAAGTCAGTGTGGTGCCTCCATCTCGTCTCATGGCATTGCTGGGACAGGTAATTACATTCCTCTAGAGGCCAGGTGTGGTGGCTCACACCTGTCATCCTTACACTTTGAGAGGCTGAGTCAGGAGGATCACTTGAGCGTAGAAGTTTGAGACCAGTCTGGGCGTCTCTACAAAAAGTAAAAGTTAGTGGGATATGATGGTGTGTGCCTGTGGTCTCAGTTGCTTGGGAGGCTGAGGTGGGAGGATCACTGGAGCCCAGAAGGTTGAGATTGACAGTGAGCTATGATCATGCCATTGTGCTCCAGCTTGGGCAACAGAGTGAGACCCTGCCTCCAAAAAGATAACTTAAACAGTGAACTCCTGGTACAATTTCCTAATTTTCCATACATAAACTATGTCTTAGCTGAAGAAATTGTATACCCTAAGAATTGGGGACTACCTACAGAGTTGCTTATACCAATAACTGCTGTTCCACTCTCCCTCTTTCCTGGGAGAGGCAACATAGATTAGTGGTTAAGAGCATAAGCTCTGGGGTCAGTTAGAATTAGGGTTACTGTAGAATTTATCATTCTGTCTGAGATGTCATTGAGAGTACGTTAATCACTATGCCAAGACACCAAGTACAAATATTAACTGTCCTGCAAAGGTTGAAACAAATACCCACCCTAGTTAGAATCCAGGCTCTCTCATTTACCAGCTATATAGTCTTGGCAAATTGCTTTTCTGGTACCATTTACTCATCATGGTATTGATGAGTAAGGATTAAGAGAAATAATGTCCATAAGCACTTTATGCATTTCTTGGTACCTTGTAAATAGTAAATGGTAGCTGCTGGTAATGATTTTTTAAAAATTACTAATAGTGGCCAGGCGTGGTAGCTCACGCCTGTAATCCAAGCACTTTGGAGGCCAAGGCAGGCGGATCACCTGAGGTCGGGAGTTCGTGATCAGCCTGACCAACATGGTGAAACCCCTTCTTTAAAAAAAAAAAAAATTACTAATAGTGTTGCTAGCATTGTTATTATCATAAAGCTACCTAGAGTAACAGATATTTTATAAACCATAAAGGGCATAAGTAATTAATAGGGATGTTAATAGCCTTTTTGCACTAAATCTGCATTTAGAAAAGAACCAAAAAGCTATTTGTTGCAGGCCTGCAGTGATTCTAAGATTCAAAAGTAAGCTGCCTTTAAAATTTTTTTTTTTTTTTTTTTGAGATGGAGTCTTGCTTTGTCACCAGGCTGCAGTGCAGTGGCGCAATCTCAGCTCACTGCAACTTCCACCTCCTGGGTTCAAGCGATTCTTCTGCCTCAGCCTCCTGAGTAGCTGGGACCTCAGGTGCGTGCCACCATGCCCAGCTAATTTTTGTATTTTTAGTAGAAACGGGGTTTCACCATGTTGGCCAGAATGGTCTCATCTCTTGACCTCGTGATCTGCCCGCCTCGACCTCCCAAAGTGCTGGGATTACAGGCGTGAGCCACCGCGCCCGGCCTGCTTTTTAATTTTTTAATCAAACAGATAGATGATAGGCATAGTTTAAGTAGTACTTCAGGGCTTACAGTGAAAGATAATCCCAGGTTCCTTTCTCCACCTCTGATTCTTAACTTTCCTGACCTATCACCTCCATAGCTGAATACCATGTTTATAATGTTATTAATAGACTTCTTTTTTTTTTAGTCTTTAGCAACTAACTTTCTTCACTGAAAAATTATTTATCTCATACCCAGTCTCCACAACACAAATTTATTCTTCTTTCAGATTTTCAGTAGAGTTACATTATAAATTTTGGTTCAGTCTTATTCAATGTTTATGTAATTATTTTTACATAGATATTGTTCACAGCTAAAAAATAATTACATGTGATGTCTTACATAAATTTTTATGATTTATTTTTTTATTGCTTTATTTTTTCTTTTGCCTAGTTTTCTATGCACTTCTACTAGTTACACTTGAATCTTTCTGGTAGAATTGTCAAAAGTCCTTTTTTTCTCCTTGCTGATATCTTTTCTGAGGCCTTTCTCTTTGTTCTCATCAGGACTAGTTCTCTTATAGTGCTGTACAAGTAGGACTTCTCTCATCTTCATAACAGGAATTTTTTGCCTCTTATGTTTTTTGTAGGTCTTATTTATAGATTCCTCATTTTTCTTTCTTTCATAGTTAAACCTCATTTTTTTAAAAATAGAGAACAGGGCCTTGCTGTGTTGCCCAGGCTGGTCTTGAACTCCTTTTCTCAGGCTATCCTGCCTCTGCCTCCCTAAGTGCTGGGATTACAGGTATGAGCCACTGAGCCTAGCCTAGACCCTCATTTTGTGGGAGTACTAAGCCCAGTAACTTCCTGAGAAAGGATGCATATGAATACATTTTTGAGATGTTACTTGTGCTTGTAATGTCTTGTATCTGTCTTTCTCTCTAAATTCTTAAAGTTATATTTTCCTCCCTGCATTATTCCCGTAATTGTTCCTATTTTTTCTTTTTCTCTGAGTTCTCCCCTTCCCAGTTTGTTTTGCTGACCATATGTGGGAGTTTTCCTCAGATATTTAGAGATACTGGCTATTTTTTGTATTTAAAAATACTAGACATTAGAGTGAAACCCTAAATAACTGGGAAATATATGTCAGGTTGGGTGTTTGCAAGAAGGAGTTTGAGAACTGATAGAATTCATCCTGGGATGATAGGGTCAGGATCTTCATTTGTCATTCTCTGCAGAAATATTCTCTTGGAGTGGTCAGTTTTTCCAGAGAGTAGTTCCTGCCTGGAGAGTAGTTCCTGCCTGGAGAGTAGTTCCTGCCTAAACCATCTCTTGGGAGCCAGAGCTGAGAGGATGCAGGTTGGAATGGAAGATAGAGAAATCTCTCTCTTCAGCATATCAGTGTAAACTGAACCCTCCAGTTTTCATTATGGCTTCTCGCCTCACTCTGTCCTCAGCTCTACTGAGATTTCCACAGGACAGGACTTCAACCTTTCCAGAGTATACATCACCTGATTTCTCTTGAGGCTAAGGTGAGGTAGTTGCACAGGGTTGGGAGAAATTGTAGTAGCTAAATACTCCTTAAACAGACTTTAATATTGCCCCTGTTTTCTGACTGCATCATGCCTTATGCTTCAAGGGCATATGATTCCTCCAGTTCCTAAGCCTTTTTGGAGTTTTGCAAGGTAGTTTGGCTTGCTTCTTGTGGCTTCCCCTTTTTTGCCTTGTACAATTAGGTTTCAGTTTTTCTGTTCTTGTTTCCCACTAGTCCATTCACTTTTCACCTGATGAAATTTAACTAACATTTTTTCTTGCTGTTCTCTTCTTTCATTCTGTTTGTCTTTTGGGGCATGTACCTTTTTTATTCCTTAATTACCATCACTTTAGTGGATTTTCTAGAGAGAGTGAAAATAAACTCATGTGTTCTACATTTAATTGGGTTAGATGTGAAGAGCAAGTGAGGCTTTAGTTTTAGGTTTCCCTTTAGTTTCTGGCTTGAGTGACTTGTTAGAAAATATAAGAAGGACAGATTTGTTGGGGGCTGGGGCTGGAAACTAGGAATAGGGCAAGTGATCCGTTTTTAGACATGTTAATTTTGAAGTTCCTGTGGGACATACAACTGGAAACTTTCAGTATAGGCACTTGGATCTGTGAATCTGGACTTTAACCTAGAGGTTTTGGCTAAAATAATAGATTTGGGAATTGTAGTAGTATTTGAAGCTGTAAATGTAATTATCCAGGGAAAGCATGTAGACTAAGAAAATTAAAAATTTGGCTGGGTGTGGTGATTCACGCCTGCAATCCCAGCACTTTGGGATGCCGAGGCAGGTGGATCACCTGAAGTCAGGGGTTTGAGACCAATCTGGCCAACGTGATAAAACCCTGTCTCTACTAAAAATACAAAAAAAAAAAAAAAAAAAAAAATTAGCGGAGTCAGTGGCTTGCCCTTATAATCCCATCTACTCAGGAGGCTGAGGCAGGAGAATTGCTTGAACTTGGGAGGTGGAGGTTTCAATGAGCTGAGATGGTGCCATTGCACTCCAGCCTGACAAGAACAAAACTCTGTCTCCAAAAAAAAAGTAAAGTAAAAATTTGAGAAGGAAATTATAAGAAACACTTAAAGTCAACAGAGCAAACAGAGAAAAGAACCTCCAGACAGATAAAAAGGAAACTCAAGAGAATGGATTTAGAGAAGCCAAGAGAGAATTTGAAGGAGAAGAGTGGTCATTAAGGTCAAGAGCAACAGAGAACATGATGAGGGTCAGAAAGGAGTCTAGTTTGACTGTTGGGATATTTGAGATGCACTGCCAGTGGAATGGTGGGGACAGAGTGGTACTGCAGTGAGTTAAGGAATGAATTTAACTGAGAAGTGAAGGTAGTGAATGTAGAAGCCTCCTGAACCTTTGTGGTTAAGGCAAGGAGATGAAGGTGGTGAGGAGGACAACAGCAGCTGAAAAGAACACAGAGCAAGACAAGGTTTTTTTTTTTTTTTTTAATATGGAAATGATTAGAAACTGTTAGAAGCCAGTAGAGAGTACAAATTGATTGGAGAGAGGTCCAAGGAGACACAGTTCCCTCTGGTCATTGCAGGAAAACATGAAAAGTAAGATTTTGGAAAGAAATAAATTAATATATTTAGAAACATAAATATTTCAACTATAGTAATCTTAGAATTAATTTAAAAGTTTGGAAAGTTGCTAGATACAAAATATATAAGTTGACTGCACTCCTATTTATCAGCAGCAGCCAGTTAGAAAATTCAGTGGAAAAGTGTTCTGTTTATAGCATAAATATGCAATACAAAACCTAGCACTCTATGGGAAATAGATGATTTCCATATTTAAAACGGCAAAAAAAAAATCCTTCAAAACTTAGAAGACTTGAGTAAATGGTGAAACTGATTTTCTTGGATAATACTTCCATTTGATGTCAGTTCTCAGGTTTAAAGCAATTATAATGAAGATTACAATAGGATTAGAACTACTTTATAAAGGAATTGAACATTCATTTGGAATAATAAATTTGAAAATATCAGGCTAGGTGTGGTCGTTCATGCCTGTAATCCCAGCACTTTGGGAGGCCAAGGCAGGTGGATCATTTGAGGTCAGGAGTTTGAGACCAGCCTGGCCAACATAGCAAAACCTCGTCTCTACTAAAAATACAAAAATTAGCTGGCCGTCATGGCGTGCACCTGTAACCTCAGCTACTCAGGAGGTTGGGGTAGGAGAATTGCTTGAACCCGGGAGGTGGAGGTTACAATGAGCTGAGATCACACCATTGCCCTCCAGTCTGAGTAACAGAGTGAGGCTCTGTCTCAATTACAAAAAAAAAAAAAGGAAAAAAAATATATTTAGCAAAGAAACTTTGGAAAGGAAGAATGTTGAAAGCATACTAGGCTTAGAAATATTGCATTTAATAAAGACCCATCATTTGCATCATTTTGGTAGTGGGCACAAGAATATCTGTTGCAACCAGTGCAACAACAGTGCAAAAACCCAATCCTGTTATTTATAATAATTTAATAGATGACTATGAAGAATACCATAAAACCTAGAAATAACAGAAAAATATATTTAGTATATGAATTGGGACACTGAGTTTAGAATTGGTGGGGAGAGGTCAGATCAGAGCCTGCTCTCATTTTATGCAGCATAATTTAAGATAGAAAGTTAGATATTTTGGGCCAGGCAAGGTGGCTCACGCCCGTAATCCCAGCACTTTGGGAGGTTGAGGCAGGTGGATCACAAGGTCAGGAGTTCGAGACCAGCCTGTCCAACATGGTGAAACCCCGTCTCTACTAAAAACTATCAAAATTAGCTGGGCATGGTGGCAGGTGCCTGTAATCCCAGCTACTCAGTAGACCGAGGCAGGAGAATCACTTGAACCTGGGAGGCAGAGGTTGCAGTGAGCCAAGACTGTGCCATTGCATGCCAGCCTGGGTAACAGAGCGAGACTCCATCTCAAAAAAAGTTAGATATTTTAAGAAAATAGAAAAAAACACTGAGAGATAATATAATCTATCAAACCTATAGTCTTCCCAAATTTAGAGATTAAACACCAAGAAAAAGATCAGTAGATTTTATCACTTGAGAATGGGACTTAAGATGAAAAGAAACCTATAAAGCTATAACCAAGAATAGACATAGTCCCAGCTACTTGGAAGGCCGAAGTAGAAGAATTGCTTGAGCCCAGGAGCTCAAGGCTGCAGTGAGTCATCATCATGCCACTGGACTTCCAACCGGACAGAGTGAGAACCCTTCTTTAAAAAAAAAAAAAAAAAAAATTGGTAAAAGAATTCTTTGCAGCAAACATAGACAACAAATACCTTTAACACATTAAAAGCTCACTAATTGCTAAGAATGGTAGAGTATGATAGATAAGTGAGCAAATAATATGAGTAAACAGTTAACAAAAGAGGAAATATGTCTAGTTAATACAGAGAAAAGTTTAAACTTATTAGAGAACTGACTAAAGTAGGGTATTATATTTCTACTTTTTTTTTTTTTTTTTTGAGACGGAGTTTTGCTCTTGTTACCCAGGCTGGAGTGCAATGGCGCGATCTCGGCTCACCGCGACCTCCACCTCCTGGGTTCAGGCAATTCTCCCGCCTCAGCCTCCTGAGTAGCTGGGATTACAGGCACGCACCACCATGCCCAGCTAATGTTTTGTATTTTTAGTAGAGACAGGGTTTCACCATGTTGACCAGGATGGTCTCGATCTCTTGACCTCGTGATCTACCCGCCTCGGCCTCCCAAAGTGCTGGGATTACAGGCTTGAGCCACTGCACCCGGCCTATTTCTACTTATTTTTAAATCAGTGGTCCCCAACCTTTTTGGCACCAGAAACTGGTTTCGTGGAAGACAGTTTTTCCACACATGGTGATGGGGGTGTCAGGGTCGTGGGTTTCAGGATGAAACTGTTCCACCTGAGATCATCAGGCATTAGATTATCATAATAAGTATGCATCCTAGGTCCCTTGCATGTGCAGTTCACAATAAGGTTCATGCTCCTATAAGAGTATGATGCTGTACAGATCTGACGGGAGGTGGAGCTCAGACCATAATACTCTGGCTCCCTGGCTGCTTACCTCCTGCTGTACAGCTGGGTTCCTAACAGGCCATGGACCGGTACCGGTCCACAGTTCAGGGGTTAGGGACCTATTTTAAATGATATCCAAAAATTACTGAGTTTTCTTGTTATAACAAAAGGAAAAGGGAATAAACATTGACTGTGGGTTATTATGTGAACATGTGCCTGTTATATAGGCTTTACATATATTATTTTGTTTTATTCTCTAGGAATTAGGCTTTTTTTTCCTGACTTTTTCGGTTGGCAGAACTGGGAGTCAAAATGACATAGCTGATGAATAATTTAGCCTAGAACTATCTGTCTCCAAAGTTAGTTGTGAACGTTGCTGCAACTGTAACATTTTTTGGAAAGCAGCCCTTTTGGAAAGGAGTTTGGCAGTATATATCAAATATATCAAGAACCTTAACCATTCACGTTCTTTTTTGGATTTAGTAATTTCTCTTCCAAGAATATACCCTAACAGGGGAATATCCCCAAAATAGAAAAAGCCTTATATCCAGAGATGTTTATTGAAGCATTATTTAGGTGATTGAAAAATTGGAAGCAGTGTAAATAAATGTCCACTAATATATTGATTAAGTTAACTGTGAAACATCTAATCGATGGGATATATTTTACAGCCATTAAAATGATAGCTGTGACTAGTTTGATCTATTGATAGGTGAAAAGAGGAGAAAATAAAATTTTACATATAATTACAGCTACGTTAATGAAACACATATGTAGGGGGGAAAAGATTGGAAGGTAGCATATAAAATGTTAAAAGTGGGTGTGTTTGAGTGTTAGAACTATGGGAGATTTCTGTTTTCCAAATTTTGTTTATAACAAAAGAGCCACACCTGTAAGAAAATAGGTGAATGATAGACTTGTTGGCTCTCAGAGTCCCCGTCCACCCTGAGTTCTTGGACACATAGAGGAGCACAGACTATGTTGTGTTTGTTGTTTGGATGGCCAAAAATTGTTGGGGTCCTGATGGCTCACAGCTTTTCCTGAACCTCATCTTTTCAGGCTTGGTTTCTGAGCACTTATGACCAGATCTTAAAAGCACCTGAACAGATTGCTATATCCTTGTACTTTATTTTTTCTTCATAGGCACTGAAGTGGCAGCAGCATCAGGGATTGCTTCCTCCTGGTATGACTATAGATTTGTTTAGAGGCAAAGCAGCTGTCAAAGATGTGGAAGAAGAAAAGTTTCCTACACAACTGAGCAGGCATATTAAGGTAGGAACCTAATCATTTGTTGAGGACTTGTCATGGGCTCCGCTAGGCCCTATGCCAGGAGCTTGGATATTAGATGGGGAGAACTCCTTCTTTAGCTCTGACAGTATTCAAGGTTGCTGCAGGTGTCCACTGGGATACTGCTGTGGCCTGGCAGTGGTACAACTCAGATCTGTAATCTAATGGATTAACATCTAGCTTGACATCTAGCCCATCATCTGCCCTTGCATTTCCTCCCAAGAAACCTGCATTTGGAAGAATGGTTAGTTCTTTGGTTAAGTCGGGGACTAACTGTGAACTTTCTGTGTACTTCTCCTGTTCAACATTTTTGCTTTGCCTGCTATGTGTCAGGCAGAGTGCCAGTCAGGGATTACAAAGTGGACTTATGTGATGTTTGAGGAAAATGATTTTATTATCTTACATTTTTTTTAAATCTGAGTTTCCTAGGAAAAAGTTTTTTAGCTAATTCTCAGAACTACAAGTATATTTGCTACTTTAGCATCTCTATATTATAGTTTCTCTGGATTTGTGCTCTAAATTCCTGGATTTTAAACTATTTCATATTCCTTAAATCTTTGACTTTGGCTTAACATTTTGAATTTGCCTTTTCTGGATTATATATTCTAACTTGCAGATAAAGATATTTTTGAGCAGCACCTTCATTTACTCTGCCTGAAACCTTGAGACAAATAGAAATCCATCATTATTATGCTGCTGGGCTAAAATTTTCTGTTATAAACACTTTCCTTTGTTGGCATGTAAAGTGAAATCCACATTAGAGCTTTTCTCTCTTCTTTTTCCACCTAATTTTCTATCGCTTTCATCTGTTACTGAGATTGTCATCACTAGCAAATGCTCAGGATGCGTATACCAGACAGTATATTAGCTTTAATTAGTTCTAAGTTTGGTCAATTATACATTATCACTTGATTATATGAAGGTTGTGAAACACTGATAGAAAGTTTATTTACAAAATAGTATAGGGAGGCATATATTTACTTTGAAAAAATGAGTTCTTCCCCCCTGAGATACACAACAAGAACATATTAGGACATATTGAGTATGAAAGTCATGCTAACAGTGTCTGTTTCTAGCAAAACATTATACTCTGAGCTAACAGGATTATTTATTCTAAGTCTCATGTGCTTTTCTTTGGAAATATCAATCTCACATCCAAAAAACTAGCTTCAACTTAGTGCCCAGATGTAAAACTAGTCAGAGAAAATACATCTACCAGGTCCCTGTGTCCATGTACAGAAATATTCCTCTAATACTCTGTAATATGGGCCAGCTATGACTTTATGCTAGGGCAGGGATTCTCAAAAGGTTAAAATAGAAATTGTTTTAAGTATACTAGATAAAAATGTATCTGTTTCATTATTTCATTTGAAACAGTTTGGTCAAAAATCACATGTGGAGTGTGCTCGATTTTCTCCAGATGGTCAGTATTTGGTCACTGGGTCTGTTGATGGATTCATTGAAGTATGGAACTTTACTACTGGAAAAATCAGAAAGGTAAAGTATTTTAAATATATTAACCTTCCTAGTGTGAAAATTACTGACTTTGAATTACTTATCTATGCCCTTACTCTAAGTCAGATTAGTTGAAAAAGGATCTATATATAATGAACGTGTATTACTTTAAAAACTCATTTAAGGCCAGGCACAGTGGTGCACACCCATAGTCCTAACTACTCAGGAGGCTGAGGCAGGAGGATTACTTAGTTGAAAACCCAGTAGTTCAACCCAGCCTGGACAGCATAGTGAAACCATGTCTCTACAAAAAAATTTTTTTTTTTTTTTTTTTTTTTTTTTTTTTTTGAGACGGAGTTTCACTCTTGTTACCCAGGCTGGAGTGCAATGGCGCGATCTCGGCTCACTGCAACCTCCGCCTCCTGGGTTCAGGCAATTCTCCTGCCTCAACCTCCTGAGTAGCTGGGATTACAGGCACGCGCCACCATGCCCAGCTAATTTTTTGTAGCTTTAGTAGAGACGGGGTTTCACCGTGTTGACCAGGATGGTCTCGATCTCTTGACCTCGTGATCCACCCGCCTCGGCCTCCCAAAGTGCTGGGATTACAGGCGTGAGCCACCGTGCCCAGCCAAAAAAATTTTTTTTTAAATTAACCATGCATGCTTGTGTGCACCTATAGTTTTAGCTGCCTGGGTGGCTGAAGTGGGAGGATCCCTGAAGCCCAGGAGTTTGAGGTTACAGTCAGCCATGATTGTGCTACTGCACTCCAACCTGGGCAATGACGCTGTCTCCAAAAAAAAAAAAAAAAAAAAAAAAGCTAATTTAAAATTATTTTTAATTAAATTCTAATTTTATTATTAGCCAAGGGAGGACCTTTATCATCTATAATTGTTTTATTATCTATTGTTTTTACAAGTAAAAAAATTTTTTTCAGGCCAGGCATGGTGGCTCACACCTGTAATCCCAGCACTTTAGGAGGCTGAGGCAGGTAGATCACATGAGGTCAGGAGTTCAAGACCAGCCTGGCCAACATGGTGAAACCCCGTCTCTACTAAAAATACCCCCCCAAAAAAATAGCTAAGTGTTGGGGCAGGCATCTGTAACCCCAGCTACTCAGGAGGCTGAGGCAGGAGAATTGTTTGAACCCGGGAGGCGAAGGTTGCAGTGAGCCGAGATCCTGCCACTGCAGTCCAGCCTGGGCTACAGAGCAAGACAACTCCTCAGAGAAAGAAAAAAAATTTTTTTTAGACAGTTTGACTCTTGTTACCCAGGCTGGAATGCAGTAGCAGGATCTCGGCTCACTGCAACCTCTGCCTCCTGGGTTCAAACAATTATCCTGCCTCAGCCTTTGGAGTAGCTGGGATTACAGGCACGAGTAGCTGGGATTACAGGCATGCAAAAAAATTTTTTTTCTTTGAGTGGGTTATATGTACAACTGATACAACATTCAAAAAACAAAAAGTTACTCAAGTAGCATTTTGCTCCTACACTTGTACCTCAGCTAGTCAGTTGCCTTCCTTGGGCCAGCCAGGATTACTAGTTTCTTATGGAACTTTCCTGGAATATCCTCTGTGTGTGTTACTTATATATATTACTCAAAATTTTTTAATAAAGATGATAGCATACTGTATACCCTGTTAAATTCTTGCTTTTCTCTTTATAGCATATTTTGGAGATTATTGCTGTATTATATTACATTGGATGGGTTGAACCATAATGTATTTAACCAGCCATTTTATTTAAGATCATTTCCAGTCTAACTTAATTGTAGTACTAGTTACATTTTTCTTATGAATGAGGTTAAAACATCTTTTTATATGTGAAAAGCCACCAATATTTTTTTTTATTTTAATGAAGCCACTAATATTTCTTATTATGAGGTCTGTTAATATCGTTTGCCCATTTTTCTGTTGAATTGTTCTTTATTGATTTGTAGGAGCTCTTTATATTTTAAGGAAATGAAGTTTTATAATATACATTACAAATATTTTTAAAGTTTGACTTTTATCTTTTAATTTTGTTTCTTTTGAAACGTTTTACAGACTTAAATTTTTCTATATCATCAAATTATTCATCTTCTACAATTTCTTTTAGTATTTTAATCTTTTATGTTTAATTTTTGACCCTTTTAGAATTTGTTTAGGGGAATAAAGTTGGTATAGATCCAACTTAGTTTTTTCCTCAAATGGCTATTTACTAACTTGTATCCACTGATTTAAAATGTTATTTTTGGCTGGGCGCATGGCTCATGCCTGTAATCCCAGCACTTTGGGAGGCTGAAGTGGGTAGATCACTTGAGATCAGGAGTTCCAAGCCAGACTGGCTAACGTGGTGGTCTCTACTGAAAATAAAAAAAATTAGCTGGATGTGGTGGTGGTGCACGCCTGTAATCCCAGCTACTTGGGAGACTGATACAGGAGAATTTCTTGAACCCAGAAGACAGAGGTTGCAGTGAGCCAAGATCATGTTATTGCACTGTAGCCTGGGCAACAGAGCAAGACTGTGTCTTAAAATAAATAAATAAATAAAATAAATAAAATGTAATTTTTATCGTAGAGTATCAAATTCCACTCTGTGGGTAGTGGATTTTATGAGTGATTTTCATTTTCTACTGTATATATTTCTGTGTAGTTTGCTTTTATTTTTTAAACCAGGAAGTAGTCTTACTTTATAATTAGAAAAAAATAAGAAAGACACTCTATTTGAACAATAATGGATGATAAAAGAAGCATCACAAATAAATAGTCCGTAAACTGTTTCAGGAAAGGTAGCTGATGATTTGGAAAAAAATACTAGTTTCTCACATCATACAAAAATAGGTAAATTCAGATTTATTAAAGATGTAAAATATGAAACTAGAGAAATTTTGCCTAGAAAAAATCAGTAAGAAAAAGATCTAGAGTAGTATGTTGGTATTTTTTATAATACTAATTTGAATTGTATAAATTTATTTATCTCCAGCAATATCACTAGGAACTAGTTATTTACTGGGAACATGTATGCACGGCACTGCTGTTTACTTTGGGGGTTTAGAGTAGGTATAATCTATTGCCCTGCTTTTTGTGAGTTTCTAGAGACCTGGGGCCTTGGCTTTTGCATTATTTTGATAAACTGTTAACCACTGTTTCTTTAGGATCTTAAGTACCAGGCCCAGGATAACTTTATGATGATGGATGATGCTGTCCTCTGCATGTGTTTCAGCAGAGATACAGAAATGTTAGCAACTGGGGCCCAAGATGGAAAAATCAAGGTATGGATTAGTGCCACAACCTCTCATACGTAGACATTTTGAATGTTCTGCTATGGGGTAGTGTCCTACATATAATATTCAGCATAATAATGGCTACTGTTTATTGAGCATTAGCTTTATTGTAATCACTTTACTTTTTCTTGTGTAATCCTAATAATAGCTCTGCCTGGGTGGTCCAGTAACATGTTTAAGGTCACATACTTGGTAAGTGATAGATCTGGGACTTTAGTTCACATCTGCTTATTCCCTTTCTATTGTACCACCCTGGCTGCCTGTATAAAAATTAGAATCACTTTGACTTTTTTTTTAGGAGATGGTCTAATAGCCAGTTTGCTGTGGTTCGTATTTAATGCTAGAAGTACATCCTGGGCTACAGAAAATATGGAAATGGTTTCTGCTAAGTGAACTTAGAGTCTCTATTTTTGTTTTAATAATTTACAAGGAAAGAGTTTTAAGTTTCAGAGGATTCAGTTACCATTGTATTACGTGAACCAGACACATCATATTCAGCTGTTAGCATGCATTTTTAATGCTGTTTCAGTACATTAGTGAGCATTGCATCTTGCTTGGCTCTGTGGGCTGTAGTAGGACACTTTACAAGTTTTTTTTTAATTCTTTTTTTTTTTTTTTCCAAAAGGTATGGAAGATTCAGAGTGGACAATGTTTAAGGAGATTTGAGAGGGCACACAGTAAGGGTGTCACCTGTCTAAGCTTTTCTAAGGATAGCAGTCAGATCCTTAGTGCTTCTTTTGACCAGACAATTAGGTAAGTAAAAATCCCAAAACCGCCCTCACTTGTTTGAATAATAGGGCATGGAGGGAGGTACTAGTGATTCCTTATGCTTTTACCATGATGGTATGATATAGAGAGTGAAGGTATGTGAGACCTTATGTCCCCAGAGTATAATTGACACAGTGCTGTTGTTTTGTCCATTTATCCAGAAGAGAGATTTTAGAGGGGATAGCAGTGATTCATGGTTCTCAGAGCCTGATCTTATGGACCCATCTGCATCGTAATCACCTTAGAGGGTCTGTTGTCCTGGGACCCAGCTGAGAGCCATGGATCTTAACCTCTTGTTAATCTGTTTTTTAGAGGTCCATCCCTGAACAGAAGCTTGTGGTATTATTGGCATATTTTCTTCCAGTCTCTTTCTTTGCAAAGCTTTTTTTTCATTGTTTGATATAATGAAAATTAAACCGTATACACAATCACATAGCCCTCTTCACTTAATATTATAACATGAACTTCTGTAATTTATCTAAAATGCATTCAATCATTGGTCACAACCATAAGATATTAAATATTTATTGTTCTTTTCATTTGCTTTCATTTGTGGTAGAATTCATGGTTTGAAATCTGGGAAAACCCTGAAGGAATTTCGTGGCCATTCCTCCTTTGTTAATGAAGCAACATTTACACAAGATGGACATTATATTATTAGTGCATCCTCTGATGGCACTGTTAAGGTTAAGTATTTGCTATTGGTTTATTTTGGGATGTCTACTTCATCTTTTTCTTTTGAGGAGTTTTCAGTGTTGATAATGGGGATGATTGTGGTGGAATAAACCTCTTTAATGGCTATTTTAGCAATAACTGAGGTGAGTCTGAGACAACAGTGTTCTGTGGGTAATTCCCATTGGCTTTGGGACCCCAATCTCAAACCTTTTCAATCCAAACAAACTTTATTATGTGTAGGAAAAGAGGAAGGGTGAGGAGTCCTAAACTTAAGCCATCCCCCATTCACAGTTACATATGGTGGTTAAATCTGTTTTGTCATAGGTGTGGTCCACCTGCTAACAGTCAAATTCATGAAAGACTCAGTGGCTTATAAATAGATCTCTTTTTTGTTGCACAGCCTCACTGCACTCTTGGCCCCCAAATTTAGGGCCTTCCTAGTAGCATTTATAGAGGAATAGGAAAGGTGAGTAAAACTAAGCCTTCTCCTGGATACTTATTTAATAAGTTATTTGCTGAAAGTAATGGATCTTTAGTACCTTTAAAGATTTAGTTATTTGAAGAGAGGGTTTCATTTCCTAGAAAAGATAGAAACCCAAATAGAAAATTATTAGAGATCTTTGAGACACTCTTACTTAAGCTCTGGAACTAATCTTTTTAAGTTGCCTTATGTGAGTGATTACTTTGTGGCAGAGGATCTAGACATTTTAACAAAACATTTTAACACAAATATCTAGACATTTTAGATACATACTTAAGTATCTAAAATTCAGACAGCCAGGTGTGGTGGTGTTCACGTGTAGTCCTAGCTACTTGGGAGGCTGAGGTGAAAGGATCACTGGAACCCAGGAGTTCGAGGCTGCATTGAGCAATTATCGCACTACTGTACGTCAGCCTGGGCAACAGAGCAAGAACCTGTCTCAGTCAGTCAATCAATAAATGTATGTATATATGTATGTATGCATATATGCATGTCAGACCAATCTCTGACATTGCTTGTTCGTGATTGGAAATTGAAGTGGAAACCTCAAGGCAGGAGCTGTAATGCTCCCTTGGGATGGATGGGGAACCACATAGAGCTCTTAGTACTTCAGTCGTGGGATTTGCTCTCATGCCATGCCTATGGGCCTCACAACTTGTAAATGCCAGATGGCTTGTCTAGGCTTATTTGTGGTCTTTCCCCCTTAGCTCTGCAGTGAGTGGGGCAAAAGATGTCACTGACCTTTTGAATGGAAAACACTGGAAGCCTTAGCATTCTTAATTCCTGAAATGTTTATTTTTTTCTTTTAAGCCATGGGGCTTCAGAGGAGATTAGGGTAGGCAATAACAGTGTTGACACTACGGCAACTGTTTTCTCCTATTTATGGGTCTTTATTAAACATCTGCTTTGTGCCAACCTCTGTGGAAGGCACAGAGGAAACACAGCAGAGTCCATGCCTTAGAGACTTTGTACCTGATGAATTGAGTGGTATCTGGACAATGCTATTTCATGTTTGGTTCATCCCTTCTCTAAGCACATCTCAAGATTTCTGTGCTACCTGATTTAACCCCTTCAGTTCATAAGAGCTCAGAAGGGCAAGGTGAAAAGATAGACTGGGAAAGTAATACAAGTGGCCAAGAGTAGCTTCCACTTCCTAGATCCTTATGTGTGTATGTGCTAACATTGTGACTTCCATTTAGTCATTGTCAGTATAAATGGTGCATTGGAATCATTTGTAGCTTTTTAAAAAATGCCTGTGCCTCACCCTAGACCTACCAAATCAAAATCTCAGGATAGAGTCTCAAGCTAAAAAGCCTCTATTTGAACCAGGCTCAGTGGCACCTGCCTGTAGTCCCAGCTACTCAGGAGGCTGAAGTGAGAGGATCATTTGAATCCAGGAATTTAACGCCAATGGGGGCAATAGGTCAATATAATGAGACCCCCATCTCTTAAAAAGAAAAAAAGCCCTGTTTTTGTTTTGTTCTATTTGTAGTTTAAGTATTTTAAATAGCAGCAAGGTCTCACTATATTGCACAGGCTGGTCTTGAACTCCTGGCCTTAAGTGATCCACCTGCCTTTGCTTCCCAAAGTGCTGAAATTACAAGCGTGAGCCACTGTGCCTGACCCCCTGTTTGGTTTTGATGTCCAGACAAGGGTAGCTTTCTGGTTGTTTCTGACAGTAGCAGTGTTGGCATGCAACTAAGTTTAAAGAGAGAGCTCTATTGGCTAAGGGAATATATATAAGCAAAGATCATAGATTTTTTAAAGTTCTTAAAATTTAGTTTGTGACTTGTTTTTGCCAGTTAATCAACAAATATATGATGAATGTTTATACAGTTGGTCCTCTGTATCTGGAACATAGATTCAACCAACCACAAATTGAAAAAATTTGGGGAAAAGAAAATTCCACAAAGTTCTAAAAAGCAAAACTTGAATCTGCCCCATGCCAAGTACTACACTGAATCCATGCAAAGGAAGTGGTGTGTAGACATTGTATTAAGTATTATAAGTAATCTAGAGATGATTTAAAGCATACAGGAGGATGTACATAGGTTATATGCAAATACTACATCATTTTATATATGGGACTTGTGTATCCTTGGATTTTGGTATCTAAAGGGAATCCTGGAACCAATTCCCACAGATACCGAGGGACCACTGTATATGGCAGTGCTGGATATTTGATTGGACATAAAATCAAGTAAGATACTGTTTTCCTCTGAGTCATTTCTACTTTTTAAGTAACCTATTAATGTTTTAAACCCTAAAACTTTAGAAATTAAAAAAAAAAATTTTTCTTGCAGGTGATTGGACTGAAAACTTTAGAAATTTTAATACTTTAAAAAGGTTTATAGGGCCGGGCACGGTGGCTCAAGCCTGTAATCCCAGCACTTTGGGAGGCCGAGGCAGGTGGATCACGAGGTCAAGAGATCGAGACCATCCTGGTCAACATGGTGAAACCCCGTCTCTACTAAAAATACAAAAAATTAGCTGGGCATGGTGGCGCGTGCCTGTAATCCCAGCTACTCAGGAGGCTGAGGCAGGAGAATTGCCTGAACCCAGGAGACGGAGGTTGTGGTGAGCCGAGATCGCGCCATTGCACTCCAGCCTGGGTAACAAGAGCAAAACTCCGTCTCAAAAAAAAAAAAAAAAAGGTTTATAACTTAAAATTTTTTTTGTGGTAGATCTGGAATATGAAGACCACAGAATGTTCAAATACCTTTAAATCCCTGGGCAGTACTGCAGGGACAGACATTACCGTCAACAGTGTGATCCTACTTCCTAAAAACCCTGAGCACTTCGTGGTGTGCAACAGATCAAACACGGTGGTCATAATGAACATGCAGGGGCAGGTGAGTGGTCAGAAAGTACATTTGCACAGGACCTGTGGGACATTCCCAGATCAGGACATCCTGGTCCAGGCCCACCCTCCCAATAACCAAATTTGGGTTCACTTCTCTGTAAACCTTATAAGCCATATTTGTTTTTCAGATTCATTTATAGCTCTGTAAAACATCTCTTTGCTGTTTCAAAAGTGATCTCCTTTCCCCTGGGTGTTTGTATATTATGCTTTTTCATCCTTTGGATAAATGAAGCTCCTGTCCATCTTTAAGCCTCCTTCAGAAGCTCACTGAAGATTTTAAGATAACAATCTTAGTCTGACTTAGGGGGATGCAGTGTAGTATGGATTACCGAAAAACTCAGGACATCTCCTAGCTACCACGGTCTAAAGTGGAACACTAATAGGAGAAAGGAAGCAGTGTCCTCATTGTATTTTTGAATCAGAACACCTGCAAGGTTCCCAAGGAATCTCACTTTTGTGGACTATGAGGTAGCACTGGGGGTGTCTGAAGCATCAGGTTTGAGGACTCAAGCCCTGGGTATGTATGCTAGTGCATTATTGGCCTGGACACTTGGGGATCTTACTGAGCATAGTGAAGAACGAGGGGCTGGTGTGTAGTACTCTCTTTCCATTCTTTGTGTTCTATAACTGATGGAGTAGTAGTTCAGAACCTATAGCTGAGATGGCTCATCTGCAGTATCTTTTGGGCTGCTGCATATGGCCACTGCATAATAGCTACCGCTGCCCAGTACATCTGCTAGGCACACTACTTCATAGTTCTGTGCTTGACTTTTTAAAATAATTTATTTTGAAAAAGTAATTTTAGATTCACATAGAAGTTGCAAAAATAATACGGAAGAGTTCCTATGTGTCCCTCTCTCAAATTCTTCTAGTGGTAACATCTTATATAACCATAGTACAATGATCAGAACTAGGAAATTGACATTGGTACAGTTATTAACTCTATTACAGATCTTATTTAGATTTCACCTTTTACATGGGTCTTCTATCAGTTCTTACATGCATTTTTTTTTTTTTTTAAGGCAGGGGTATAATCGTTCTGTAAAGTTTCATTACATGTATCGAGTCCTATAACCATCATTACAGTCAAGATACGGAACTGTTTTATCATTCCCAAAGAAACTCTCATGCTACATCTTTATAGTCACATCCTCCCCATACCCTTAGCCCCTGGCAACTACTGTTCGGTTTCTATTGTTATAATGTGTTGTTTTTTAAAAAATAGACTAGAGTGCTTTTAGGTTCACAGCAAAATTGAGCAGAAAATATGGAGGGTTCCCATATTTCCTTTGTCCCTTCCATCGGCACAGCCCTCCCTACTATTAGTATCTTGTGCCAGAGTGGTATGTTTGTTACAACTGATGAACCTGCATTTGCTACATCATTAACACACAAAGGCCATAGTTTACATTAGGGTTCACTCTTGGTGGTGTATGTTCTGTAGGTTTGGACAAATGTATAATGGCAGGTGTCTACAATTAGAGAATTGTACAGAGTAGTTTCACTTCCCAGAAATTCTCTGTACCCTTGCTATTCTTCCCTCCCTCCCCACTAACTTCTGGCAACCTCTAATCTTTTTACTGTCTCCATAGTTTTGCCTTTTCTAGGAAGTTATGTAGTTGGAAACATAAAGTATATAACTTTTTCATTTTGGCTTCTTAATAATATGCATTTTTCTCCTTGTTTTTTCATGGTTTGATAGCTTTTTTTTTTTAAGTGCTAAATAACATTTATTTATACACTCATCTACTGAAGGACATCGTGGTTGCTTCCAAGTTTTGGCAATTATGAGTAAAGCTGCTATAAACATCCATGTGCAGATTTTTGTGTGAATATGTTTTCTATTCCTTTCGATAAATGCTGAGTAGTGTGATTGTTGGATTGTATGGTAAAGTATGTTTAGTTATAAGAAACTATCAAAGTGTTGCAAAGTGGCTGTATCATTTTGGATTCCTACCCTTGGTGAATGAGAGTTCCTGTTGCTCCACATCCTCACTAGCATTGGGTGTGGTCAGTGTTCTGGATTTCAGCCATTCTAATAGGTATAGTGGTATCTCATTTAATTTGCATTTCCCTTATGAAATGTGGAACACTTTTTCATATGCTCATTTGCCATCTCTGTACTGTACTTCTGGTGAGGTGTCTGTTTATGGTATTTGACCCATTTTTCAATTGGGTTGTTTTCTTACTGTTGAGTTTTAAGAGTTCTTTGTATATTTTGGATAATAGTTCTTTATTTTCTCCCAGTCTATGGCTTGTCTTCTCTCTCTCTCTCTTTTTTTTTCCTTTTTTTTTTTTTTTTTTTTTTTTTTGAGGCAGGGTCTTGCTCCATTGCCTAGGCTGGAGTGGCATGATCATAGCTCACTGTATCCTTGAGCTCCTGGGATCAAGAAATCTTCCTGCCTCAGCCTTCTAAGTGGGTGGGACTACAGGCATGTGCCACCATGCCTGACTATTTTTTTCTATTTTTAATTTTTTAAAATTTTTTGTAGAAATGGGGTCTTGCTGTATTGCTGAGGCTGGTCTCAAACTCCTGGCCTCAGGGGATCCTCTTGCTTTAGCCTTCCAAAGTGCTGGGATTACAGGCATAAGCCACTGCATCTGTCCTTATTTTCTTTTTCTTTTTTTTTTGGAAATGGAGTCTCATTCTGTTGTCCAGGCTAGAGTGCAATGGTGAGATCTCGGCTCACAGCAACCTCTGCCTACCAAGTTCAAGCGATTCTCCTGTCTCAGCCTCCTGAGTAGCTGGGATTACAGGTATGCGCCACCATGCCTGGCTAATTTTTGTATTTTTAGTAGAGACAGGGTTTCACCATGTTAGTCAGATTGGTCTCGAACTCCTGACCTTGTGATCTACCTGCCTCAGCCTCCCAAAGTGCTGGGATTATAGGTGGGAGCCACCATGCCTGGCCCAGCCTCAGTTTCTTGACAGTGGCTTTTACAGAGCAGAAAATTTTAATTTTAATGAAATCTAGCTTATCAGTTCTTTCATGGATCATGTCTTTGGAGTTGTATCTAAAAAGTCATCATCAAACTCAAGATCATCTAGATTTTCTTTTTTGTTATCCTCTAAGAGTTTTATATACAGTTTTGAGTTTTATATTTAGGTCTGTGATCCATTTTGAGTTAATTTTTATGAAGAATATAAGGTCTTTATTGTTTCTAGATTCATTATTTTGCATATTTGTCCAGTTATGGCATCCCTTGTTGAAAAGACTATCTTTATTATATTGCTTTTACTTCTTTGTCAAGAATCAGTTGAGTGTATTTCTGGGCTTTCTATTCTGTTCCATGGATCTATTTCTTTGTTCTTTTGTCAGTACCACACTGTCTTGATTACTGTAGCTTTGTAGTAAATTTTGAAGTTGGGTATTGTGAGCCCTCCAACTTTGTCCTTCTCTTTCAATATTGAATTTGCTATTCTGGGTCTTTTGCCTCTTTGTGTAAGATTTAGAATTGGGTTGTCAGTATCCACAAAATAATTTGTTGGGATTTTGATTGGGATTGTGTGAAATCCATAGAGTAAGTTGGGAAGAACTGACATCTTTACCATATTGAGTCTTCCTGTTCATGAACATACACTGTCTCTGTTTAGTTCTTTGATGTCCTTCATCAGAGTTTTATAATTTTCCTCATTTAAATCTTGTATGTAGTTTGTTAGATTTATACCTAAGTATTTTCATTTGGGGGTGTGCTAATGTAAATGGTATGTTTTAAATTTCAAGTTAGTTAATTCCAAGACTTAATCCTTGGCAACCACTGATCTTTTTTCCAGTATTATAATTTTGTCATTTTGAAAATGGTATAGAAATGGAAGCATATGGTATATAAACTTTTAACCTTTTCAGATTGGTTTCTCTCCAGCTTGATTTATGATGATTTTAATGTTGTGTCAATAGAGCAAGAAAAGTCTTAGAGACAGAGTATCATCTTGCATGAGGAAAGCTTCTCATTCTGTTAGAGGAAACTGGGGAGCAGACTTCCAGAAAGCTTTGAGAACTACTGGTGTATTGATTTAGAAATTGTTGTATGGGCTGGGAACGGTGGCTTCAAGCCTGTAATCCCAGCACTTTGGGATGTTCAGGTGGGTGGATCATGAAGTCAGGAGTTTGAGACCAGCCTGACCAACATGGTGAAACCCTATCTCTACCAAAAATAGAAAAATTAGCCAGGCATGGTAGCGGGCGCCTGTGATCCCGGCTACTTGGGAGGCTGAGGTAGGAGAATTGCTTGAACCTGGGAGGTGGAGGTAGCAGTGAGGCGAGACCGTGCCATTGAACTCCAGCCTGGGCGACACAGCGAGACTCCATCTCAAAAAAAAAAAAAAGAAAAATTGTTGTATGCATGGCAATGAAATTTGCTTAAGGGTATTATATCTCTTTAGGGCATGATTGGTGACTTGGGATGTATGAATTCTAGATTTTTGTCTGCCACTTAGTTTAGATTGCTTATCTATTGAATATTTTCTAGGCAAGGGAGTTAGCACGTGATGAACAGGATTGGAGATTTAATTACAAATGATAGTAAACCAAAGTGCAAAATAACAGTGTTGAAATGTCAGTTTAAAATGCTTCACGTGGTTGAGCTGCTACTAATCCTGATGTTTTTGTCTTGGGGTGTGGTGTGATCTAGATTGTCAGAAGCTTCAGTTCTGGTAAAAGAGAAGGTGGGGACTTTGTTTGCTGTGCCCTCTCTCCCCGTGGCGAATGGATCTACTGTGTAGGGGAGGACTTTGTGCTCTACTGTTTCAGTACAGTCACTGGCAAACTGGAGAGAACTTTGACAGTGAGTATTACTTACTAAGTTCATCTAAAGAAATATGGTAAGACATGTGTCTTTCTGAACTCTAAAGTATGTACCTTTTCCAGACTGCTATCAACGTGACCCTCTGTATAAAAAAATGTTAGCTTTTAAAACATTTAGCTCCATGTTAAATTCAAGAAATAAAATTAATGCCAGCTGCTGTGATGATCCCCAAATTTCAGTGGCTTAACACTATATAAGTTTTTATTTATTTATTTTTTTGAGATAGATTCTTACTCTGTCACCCAGGCTGGAGTGCAGTGGTGTGATCTCGGCTCACTATAAACTCCGCCTCCTGGGTTCAAGTGATTCTCCTGCCTCAGCCTCCCAAGTAACTGGGATTACAGGCATGTGCCACCACTCCTGGCTAATTTTTTGTATCTTTAGTGGAGATGGGGTTTCACCATGTTGGCCAGGCTGGTCTTGAACCCCTGACCTCAAGTGATCCACCCACCTCGGCCTCCCAAAGTACAGACATGAGCCGCTGTGCCCAGTCTAAAAGTTTATTTCTTACTGTGTCACAGTGTGATGTGAGTTGGAAAACCCTCTTCCATCTTTCTTCTATGTCATTTGGAATATGTGGCCTTCCATGATCTCTTCCTCCCTCCCACCCAGCTCTAGAAGCCTCGTCAGAGTGATTTGTTGCAGATCTGTACACCCTAACCCTGTGCTTTACGTGTTCCAGGTGCATGAGAAGGATGTGATTGGTATTGCACATCACCCACATCAGAACCTGATTGCTACCTACAGTGAAGATGGACTCCTAAAGCTCTGGAAACCATAATTCAGCTTTTCTTTTTAAATCAGCTTGAAAGCACCTACTTTAATGTGCTCTTTTTTTTGTTTTGTTTTGTTTTTAAAGGCCAGCTTTTCTAAGCAAATAGATTGTCTGAATTAGTCACAAGAGTAATTTTGTGAAAATTCATGTTTAACTAGCAGGTACCGTTCCCTTTTTTATATATTTTTAAGGTATTAGAACTGGTGCAGTCACTTAATGTTTTCATTAATCTTCTACCTGAAGAGTGAAATACTGATATTTCTGGAAAAAAATTCTACTCTATTTGAAATGCTGATTAAAATGTGCCTATCATAGTAAAACTTGTAAATAAGGAACTAAATCATATTCAGTAGTTGTGTTCTGTTCCATCTTTTTTTTTTTTTTTTTTTTTTTGGATGGAGTTTTGCTCATCGCCTGGCTTATATTTTTGTGTTTTTAGTAGAGATGGGGTTTCACCATGTTGACCAGGCTGGCCTTGAACTCCTAACCTCAAGTGATTTGCCCGCCTTGGCCTCCCAAAGTGCTGGGTTTACAGGCAGGAGCCACTGTGCCCCACTCATCTTTTTTTTTTTTTTTTTAAGATGTTAATAAACTTTATACCTTTCTGGAGACTTTGTTCTAAAATGTAAATCAGTGCTCATCTAGTTAACATATTTACTTAGAATGTGGGGGAGGAGGAGTAACATTATTATACCTGAATCTCAAGTACAGCAGAAGTGAATTCCTGGGATAGTAGGGTAGACTAACATGTAAAAAGGCCAGGTGATGATTAGGCTCTCATTTCGCTACCCTGAAACCTTCCTCTCCTTCTGAGCTGTGCCTTCTCACATGTTCAGTCAACTCCAGGGAATATGTCCCCATCTTCTGGACAGAATAGTTGCAGGATCTGTTACAAGAATTCAGAGTTTTGGCATCTCCCGCTTTGTAGGGTACAGTTTGACATTGAAAATGTGCTGTTGTTCCAAAGAAAAATTAGCAAAGGACTTGAGATTTAAAAAACTCTCCTTTGTAATGTGCATCATTACCAGTTATTTAAAGAAAAGCATGTCAAAGCCAACAAAACCCTTGGAAATATTTTGCACATAGATGTCTGTTTCATGTTTCAGCTGAAGATGTATAGCGCACCTCTGATGATGAGGGAGGTACTGTGCTAAGCACTACTTTCAAGAATGTGAGTTCTTGTTTCTACAGGCCTTTTGTGCTCCCTTTTAAATGTTAGCATTTATTAGATACAAAGTAGTGGGGAAGGTTTTTTAAAGAAGTTTTAGCAGTCTTGTAATTTACCTTTTTTTAAAATTTATTTTATTTTATTGAGACGGAGTCTTGCTCTGTTGCCCAGGCTGGAGTGCAGTGGTGCCATCTCAGCTCACTGCAACCTTCGCCTCCTTGGTTCAAGTGATTCTCCTGCCTCAAGTCTCCCGAGTAGCTGGGAGTACAGGCACATGCTACCATGGCTGGCTAATTTTTGTATTTTTGTAGAGATGGGGTTTTGCCATGTTGACCAGGCTGGTCTTGAGCTTCTGACCTCAGGTGATCTGCCTGCCTCGGCCTCCCAAAGTACTGGGATTACAGGTGTGAGCCACCGTGCCCAGCCTTGTAATTTACCTTTGACTGTGACCTGAAGTACAGTAGGAGCCTATGCCTGGCACATAGTAATGCTCAGTGTTGGCTGAATTAATTCTGAGCGGCGCTAAGAAATCCCTCTTTCCCAGTCATATTCTATAACATATTTCCTATTTGCCACAAAACCTGCAGCCTTTTGGCCCAGGTAATGTCATTTGCAGTCATTTTGATGATTTTAAAATGGTTGTGGGAGTTGAACATAGTTATGAGTTCAGGATTCCTGAGACTGTAGACAGCCATCCCAGTGGAAAGAAAGACATTTTCACTTAAGTAGGAGAAGTTTGTTAGAAAGAGGAAACAGTTTATGCTAAAAATTTTTAGAAAAATCTTTGAGAAGAATTTTTGATTTAGCCTTGACCTCATGAAACTGGTAGTTTTAATATGCATAATTTGCACCACAGCTTATAAGGATGGAGAATGTAGTCAGCATATGTTGTTTTATTCTAGGAATTTTTATGGAACACTCTGTTGCTGGCATCAAGTGCTGAGTATGGTTAAAAAAAGACTCATTTCTTTCTGCCTTAACATAGGGAAGAAGAGCAAATTAAAAGGAGTGATTGAAACTCATAAAAACTCAAGTCCCCCTTTTTTTTTTTTTTTTTGGTAGAGACGGGGTTTCACCATGTTGACCAGGATGGTCTCGATCTCTTGACCTAGTGATCCACCCGCCTCAGCCTCCCAAAGTGCTGGGATTATAGGCCTGAGCCACCGTGCCCTGCCCAAGTCACCTTTTTATGATGGGAGGCGGGCCACCTAATAAGAAAGGGTTAGGAAAGGCTTCCTGGAGGGGCTGGGGGCAAGCTAAGCAGAGGGAACCTTCCCGGGAACTGCAGTGCGGCATAACGGCAAGGTATGTGCTGTTAGATAGGTGTCTTGGGAAACCAGGCAAAGAGAGCTGGATTTGGAGCTGTTAAGTATAGGTGTCTTGGGAAACCAGGCAAAGAGAGCTGGATTTGGAGCTGTTAAGTATGTATTTTTCGTCTTTTTAAATAATGCACTGGGTGAACATGTAAACACTAAGTTGAAAATCTGCCTTTCCCAGGTTGTTAATCTTTCCACAACTTCATTTCCTACAAACCTGAAAAACAGTGTTTTTGTCTTTAAATATGGGCACGTTCCTCACGCTGCTAGGTGCCTAGCCTTTCTGAAGCCCCACGTCCCTCCAGCACTGTAGGCGGGGTAGGCCCAGTTCCGCTCCAGTGCCGGCACAGCCAGACTGCGGCGGGGTTGGGCCGCGCACGCGCGGGGCCGATGGACGCTCTGGGGCGCCGCTGCCCGAGATCTCGTGGGCACGAGGCAGGAGTCCCATCTTGGGTCCTGGGTCGGGAGAGCCCCTTAACGGGGATAGGGGTACCGCGCACCCGCCGAAGCCAGCTGTCAGGGGCTGCAGACATCAGGTGACGCTATTGTTATAAAATTGGCTATCACATTGTGTTAAGGGCCGGTGGGAGTGCCTACGCGAACGGGAGTTGGCTGCAGGGAATCAGTGAGCACTTCCTTCTGAAATTGGGTGTGTGCGCTCTGCTGCAGCCACCTGATTTAACGGTTACTGCTCTCTAGCACTTAAAATAGAAGCTAAACTACCTGTTGTTAAAATTAATTCCACTGGAATAAGGACGTTTGTCCTGTCCCCCGTTCAGCTGTTGAATTAGTGACTGGAAAACATTGCACGGAGGTATTTCAGAGTAATCTGGTTTATTTAATTTATTTTTTAGACAGTCTGTTGAGTCTCTTCTAATCTGGTGTATTTTTAAATATATTTCAGGTACAATTCAGTATCCACCAGTTGGGTTATTTTTTCCCCCCAGCTTTATTATTACTACCACTAACAGCCTCTGTTGAGCCCTTCACTGCTGTGTAAGCAGCCGTATTTCTCAGAACAACCTAATGAGGGAGCGCCTGTGATTCCCACAAATTTACATGAAGAAACAGGTTTCCAGACCTAAGGCACCTAACTCAGTCCAACTTGCATGAAGCCCGCATTGAAAACCAGATGTGACTCCAAAGCTAGGTTTCTCTTCTCTCTTGCCTCACTCTCAATATTGCTGTCAGTTTCTCTTCAACCTTTAGGTTTGGACAGAAGCAAAGAATCCATGGGTTGTTCCTCCACATTCTGTCAAAAACATTTACCTAAGCAGAGCACAGGTAGTGAGTTGAGTAGAAAGAGAACTGAATTACAAGATTCTGGATGTCAGTCTTTGCTGTCACTTCTTTTGGCTTGGGCTAGAACAAATGTCACCTGGCAAATTGAAAGACACATTCGAAGGTCCTATCCCAGACCTACAGAAATCAGAGATTGGTGGTGGGGCCCAGCAAGCATGCCAAATTTGAGAACAGGTAGACTACGGGATAGTTTCTGCATATACAAAAGTGTTTTAATTCTCGCTATCAGTCTCAGAAGGTTCATGCTGAGATAACCAAATTTAAGTGATAAAGGTGCAAGACTGACTCTTGAAATAAAATCATTTTTTCAAATTGCAGTAGCTTGCTAGCGTTTCTCATTCACTGAGCTTTTAGAGCTTCATTTTCCACTATTTTAAGAGAAGAAATTGCTATGAAGTGTATGTCCAAGTTAGGAAGTTCCCTGGTCTGAGCTTGTTTAAAACTTGCAATAGTGGCTGGGCGCGGTGACTCACGCCTATAATCCCGGCACTTTGGGAGGCCGAGGTGGGTGAATCACGAGGTCAAGAGATCGAGACCATCTTGGTTAACATGGTGAAACCCCGTCTCTACTAAAAATACAAAAATTAGCTGGGCATGGTGGTGAGAGCCTGAAGCCCCAGCTACTCGGGAGGCTGAGGCAGGAGAATTGCTTGAACCCAGGGGGCAGAGGTTGCAGTGAGCTGAGATCGCGCCATTGCACTCCAGCCTGGGGAACAAGAGAGAAACCCTCTCTCAAAAAAAAAAAAAAAAAAAAAAAGCAAAAAAACAAAACTTGCAGTAGCAAGGGCTACCCATTATTTAACCTTCCACAGCAATTTTAACAGTGGTATCATTCTGTCCTAGGTGGTTAATGTTAAATCTATGTGTCAGTGTTGGTAGTTTTCAACCTTGGCCGCACATTATCATTTGGATGCTTAGGCTATACCCAGCCTAATGAATCAGAATCCCTGGAGGGTGGGACCTGATCAATGTTTTATGTTTCCCAGGTAATTCCAATGATAGCCAAAGAACCAGTACCATATGTACAAAAAAGTTGAGAAGCTAATTTCACATACAGAAAATTTGCCACTGTTCTAAGAACACTCTCAAGGGACATAATTGACCTCTACTATTCCCTACAAGTATGAATGGGTAGAAGCGTCACAGAAAAAGCTGGAACTCGTATTTTTGTGGATGATGACCTTGGTCAATGTTTTAAAGGGCTTTGTTTTTTCATAGGCTCCCCCTCATTACATTGTTCTGAGAATTAAATGTGGCTGCTTACATAAAGAAGTGCTCAACAGAGGCTGTTAATGGTAGTAATGATACAAGCTAAAAAAAAACTACATAGACAAACCTATCAGTTTCTGCCTCTTCAGGACATAACTATTAGGTGCAAAAGTAATGTGCCAAGGCCGGGCGCGGTGGCTCACGCCTGTAATCCCAGCACTTTGGGAGGCCGAGGCGGGTGGATCACGAGGTCAAGAGATCGAGACCATCCTGGTCAACACGGTGAAACCCCGTCTCTACTAAAACTACAAAAAATTAGCTGGGCATGGTGGCGCGTGCCTGTAATCCCAGCTACTCAGGAGGCTGAGGCAGGAGAATTGCCTGAACCCAGGAGGCGGAGGTTGCGGTGAGCCGAGATCGCGCCATTGCACTCCAGCCTGGGTAACAAGAGCGAAACTCCGTCTCAAAAAAAAAAAAAAAGTAATGTGCCATTACTTTTAATGGCAAAAACCGCAATTACTTTTGCACCAACCAACCTAGTATGATTTTCTTTTAGTGTTCTTAGGATTTATTGTAAAACATATATAACAAAATTTCCTACTTAAACCATTGTGCAATTCAGTGGCATTATTTATTTACAATGTCATGCAACCAGTTATATTTCCAAAACATCACCCCCGAAACAGAAGCCCTGTAACATTGTCAATTAACTCCCCTCCCCACCCCCCGAAGCTTTTGGTACTGTTTCTGCCTCAATGCATTTGCCTAGTTTAGTTCATATAAGTGAAATTATACAGTATTTGTCCTTTTGTGTCTTATTTCATTTAGTGTGTTTTAAAGGTTCATCCATGTTATCAGAACAGTAATGTGCTTCATATTTGGGGGAAGTGTAAAAAGTATTCCTTTTAATGGCTGTATATTTCACAGTATGTGTACACATGTATATTGAAAATTGAGATATTTATATGTACACATTATTTGTTGGTGGACACTCAGGTTTCCACTACACTGACATACTTTTTTTTTTAAGACAGTGTCTCGTTCTTGTCGCCCAGGTTGTAGTGCAATGATGTAATCTTGGCTCACTGCAACCTCCACTTCCTGGGTTCATGCGATTCTTCTGCCTTAGCCTCCTGAGTAGCTGAGATTACAGGCGTGCACCACCATGCTCAGCTAATTTTTGTGTTTTTAGCAGAGACAGGGCTTTACCATATTGGCCAGGCTGGTTTTCAACTCTTGACCTTAGGTGATCTGCCCTCAGCCGTCCAAAGTGCTGGGATTACAAGTGCGAGTCACTGCATCCTCCCCGAGTTCCTTTTTTTTTTTTTTTCTTGTATAGTCATCCCTCAGTATCCATGGGGGATGGTTCCAGGATTTTCCATGGATACCAGAATCTGAAGATACTCAAGTCCCCGATATAAAACAGCATGGCATTTGCATATAACCTACATATCCTGCATAATTTAGCCATCTATCTCTATGTTACTTGTAATACCTAATACAATATAAATATAATGTAAATAGCTGTTATACTGTGTGCTTTAGGGAATAAGTCTACATGGTCAGGAAACAATTTTTTCCCAGTTGTTTTTGACCCAAGGATGATTAAATCCATGTATGTGAAACCCAAAAAGGAGGGTCAGCTCTGGGTCATGTGGTAATTCCATTTAGTTTTTTTGAGTAACTGTCAGACTTTTTTTAGACAGCTTCGTTCTTGTTGCTCAGGCTACCACCTTCCAGGTTCAAGCAATTTTCCTGCCTCAGGCTCCAGAGTGACTGGGATCACAGGCATGCACCACCACACCTGGCTAGTTTTTTTGTATTTTTAGTAGAGACGGGGTTTTTCCATGTTGGTCGGGCTGGTCAAACTCCTGCCCAGGTGATACGCCTGCCTTGGCCTCCCAAAGTGTTGGGGCTCTATAGGTGTGAGCCACCATGCCCAGCCTCCATATTATTTCCCATCTTTTGGATTAGAGCTATCCTAGGTGTGAAGTAGTATCTGGTTTTTATGAGCGTTGCCCTTAAGACTGACAAATAGTGCTTTTTGAGAGTCTTGCTCTGTCGCCCAGGCTAGAGTGCAATGATGTGATCCTGGCTCACTGCAATCTCTGCCCCCTGGGTTTGAGCAATTCTCCTGCCTCACCCTCCAGAGTAGCTGGGAATGCAGGTGCGCACCACCACACCCGGCTAATTTTTGTACTTTTAGCAGACAGGGTGCGCCGTGTTGGCCAGGCTGATCTCAAAACTCCTGACCTCAGGTGGTATGCCTGCCTTAGCCTCCCAAAATGCCGGAATTACAGGCAAGAGCCTGGCCCTAAACAGTGCTCTTAAATATATTAATATAGAGGTTGAGAAATTTTTAGAATTTGTATATAAGCTCAGTGAAAGGGTCACAAGTGCTTTTTAACACTGATCAAATTATACTTTCCTGAACATCTGCTTCACATCTCTCAAACTTTAGGGTAGCTGTGGCTGTCTGGCACAGACAAAAAGGAAATTGACAAACACTGATGGTTTGGGAAACTTATTTTTTAAAGTTTTTCTCCCTTTTAAACTTGTGTTCTTTATAAGAATTTATTTTCTCATACTCCAATGTTTGCAAAGTCTTCTAAGCCCCCTTCTTGGCTCATTACTCAGTTCTCCACTTTAATCTCCATCCTATTTATTATAGTTCAATAGTATTTTTGTATTACTCATTTAGACTAGCTAAAATCAAGTTACATATCTTAGTTAAAAGCCAAAACTCATGATCTGGGAAAAAAAAGCCTGTAGTGACACACATTGGAGATGCTTTGTAATTAGTATATTAAGGAGACAATACATTTCAAGAATTGCTTAAATTCTGATACCCAGATTTAAGCATGTGAACATGAGACTTTTAAACATACAATTAAAGCTGTTCATCATAATTCGCTATACTACCAACATTAGTTACTTTGGAGCGTAAGTCAAATGGTTTAAAGTAATCCTGTAACATACCTAGAGAACACCTTCCTATATTATGCATGCAAACTACTTCTCCATGTAAAGGTCTTTTCACTTTAATTTCTACGTTACCCAGCTCTGAAGTCACTACTTGGGTTTATCATGGTCCACAGACAAGGAGGGGGGCAAATAACCAGGGCTGGTCAAGATATATATGGAGATATATATAGATGGCACAGAAGGAAACAATTTTGGAAGTGCAAGGCTTCAAGAAGCAGCATATTATGATAAACCCCTCCTACAGAAAGGTATCATTTTTATCACTGATACCACAGGATAAATTATATATTACGCCATCTTCAAGTAACAGTTGAGGCAATAGAATAAATGCAGAGGCATTACAATGAATCCCACTTAATACAAGAACTATACAGACCAACACTTCTCTACAGTTTTTTTTTCTTATTGCCAGTTAAATACAGTTTTACTTTCATAGCTTAACAATGAAGGGTCATACACTGAAGCCAATACATATACCTAGCATTTCAGTCTACGCTTGTCCACGTACATAGCTGAAGTCAATTACAAGGTTTGGCCTAGCAATGCTAGGGGAACTTCTTTGTAGTTTTTACAGGTATTAAACTTCATTTTGCACACTGAAGTCATCATACATACAGGGCAAAGTCAGAGCTTTTATTTATATTTGCCTTTATTCTTCATTTAACTTTTTAAAACACTACTATAGTTGATTAAAACAAAAACAAAAGCAAGTAGTGAGCATATTATGATTACAGTCCTTACTCATTCACTACTGCACATAAAATGCCAGCAGTGAGTGTTATTCACTGGCCCATTAAGAGGTCTGACACTGAACACCACCTCTGGGATGATGTTCATCATCCTCATATGCTTCTCCATTGTAATGGCGCCGTCTTTCCTGATTTGGATCAAAGTCCACCAGTTCTACTTGATCCATCTCATCAGTCTCTTCCACTTCCTTCCTTTCCGGTAGGAGTTTTTCCAGCAAAGATAGTTTATCAGGAGAGAGAAAGCCATTCTCAGGAAAGTTTACCTTCAAAAGAAATTTTTACTTTTAAGTTCAATCTGTTTTCATCATTAGCTCATTAGAGTATCATGTATTCACTTTCCACAGAAAAACACATGTAAACACATGATATTTAGGTGAATCTGCCAATCTCAGGTTAAGGTTCTAAAAAGGCACAGGGCATAGCACACTCTCAACTAGAGTTCAAGGATTATGACCAAAAGTCAGGCTTCATTAAAAAAAAAAAGATTGTATCAAATAAAACTGTACTTTAACCGCCATTGTTCTATCCAGCAAACTGACTTTTAATACCAAAACCCGTCCTGAAACAGTCTAATTCTTCTCATGAGGTATTTAAACAAAGCTACTCTTACTCTCAAAAGGGTAGTTCTTTCTCATCCAAAGATGTTTTTAGGCCAGGTGCAATAGCTCATGCGTGTAATCCCAACACTTTGGGAGGCCGAGGTGGGCAGATCACCTGAGGCCATGAGTTTGAGATCAGCCTGGCTAAAATGGTGAAACCTGTCTCTACTAAAAACACAAAAGTGAGCCAGGTGTGGTGGCAGGTGCCTGTAATCCCAGCTACTCAGGAGGCTGAGGCAGGAGAATTGCTTGAACCCAGGAGACGAGATTGCAGTGATCCAGGATCTTACCACTGCACTCCAGCCTGGGTGGCAGAGCAAAACTCCCTTCTCAATAATGGGGGAAAAAAAAGATGTTTTAATTAATATCTTTTGTGATGAGAGGCCAATTTAAGACCGAGGAAAATGACTGGATTGCTTTATAGCTATTAACAAATCAAGCATTACACTACTTTGCCAAGAAATCTGCAATTATAAAGTGCTTCTGAACTTTAAGATGACAGTTACAACCTTTATTTAATAAAATAGCCACTTGTCCAGCACACCCTTCCCACAATCTATCTCTAAGTATCCAATTAATGATGCAAAAACCCCATCCTCAACCTGGTTAACAAAGAATGCTCACGCAACATGACAAGAATTAGTAGTATTAGAATTGTTTTGAGACAGGGTCTCATTTTGCCACCCAGGTTGAAGTACAGTGATACGATCTTGGTTCACTGCAGCCTTGACCTCCTAGGCTCAAGCAATCCTCCCATCTCAGCTTTCCAAGTAGCTGGGACTATAGGTGCGTGCCACCATGCCGGGCTAAGTTTTGTACTTTTTTTTTTTGCCATGTTTTCCAGGCTGGTCTTGAATTCTTGAGCTCAAGTGAACCAACTGTCTAGGCCTCCCAAAGCACTGGGATCATAGGCATATGCTGGAGACACATAGCCAGATCAGTGTATTAATTGCTGGGTAAGGAAAAATATAAACTTCAGGTTGCTTGGCATTCAGAAATTTTTTTTTCTTTTTTTTTTTTTAAAAAAAGACAGGGTTTCACTATGTTGCCCAGGCTGTTCTCAAACTCCCAGGCTCAAGGGATCTTCCTGCCTCAGCCTCCCAAAATGCAGGGATTACAGGCATGAGCTACCATACCTGGCTGAAATTTTACATTTTTTATTTAAAAAATCAGAGTTTAGTAAGCCAATTTTTCTTCTCAAATATACTTAAAGTACTTTACAGCTTACCTTAAATTCGATGATTAGGCGACCCTTTTCATATGGTCTACGATAAATTGGCATGCCTTCATTTAGTACACACTTGATATCTCCATGCTTGACAATCTGACCTAGAAACATTGAAGGCAAGTTCTTCCTTAAGTATGGTCACATTTTTATGAGGCAGAGAAAATAAAGAACAGAGAGCATTGTCCTAGCTCACTGGCAGAAGTAAAACTTATGTGGCAAAACAATCCTGTTACCTTTCATGTATGGGCTTTTCAAGGGCAGACTAGAGAGCCAAGACCTTATAACTTCATCTCAGCCCAGGGAACAGTAGTAACCAAGGAAGAACAACAATGTGTTTCCCTCTGCCTATAATACTGTGTTATCAGGAGACAAGGAAAATACTAGAATAGAAAAGAGAAACTTAAGCTTGCCTAGTTGCCATACCTGGATGAGAGGTGATGACTATGGTTCTGTTGTCAAGAGTAGATATCGGCTTTTGGAAGCCACACAGTGCTTCAACCAGCTGTATGTCCATACACATGAAAAGGTCTTCTCCTCGTCTGCAAAAATATGACACATATTTACATTTCTCAAATCACCAATCAGTGGATGTACCAAAGCAGGCTATTGTTTATTGTTTTAATAAAAGCAAGGGTGTCTTTTCTAAAGACTCTCTTTTCTTCCCCCATTGTAAAAATCAAACAGAGCAGAGATATGAGAATAGCACACATGTAGAACCTGCCAGCCCTGTTTCCTAGATAAGGATTCAAAGTCATTCCACACACTCTAGGCAGCCTTTACCATTTAACATCCCTGAATTGTTTCATTACCTAATTTTTAATCTGGTTTCTCAGAGGGAAAAAACAGTAACAAAACTCCCAAGAGTGAGGCTTAGGTTGGGTGGTGTAGTTCACACCTGTCATCTCAGCACTTTGGGAGGCTGAGGCAAGTGAATCACCTAAGGTTGGGAGTTCAAGACCAGCCTGGCCGACATGCTGAAACCCCGTTTTTTTTTTTTTTTTTTTTTTGAGACGGAGTTTCGCTCTTGTTACCCAGGCTGGAGTGCAATGGCGCAATCTCGGCTCACCGCAACCTCCGCCTCCTGGGTTCAGGCGATTCTCCTGCCTCAGCCTCCTGAGTAGCTGGGATTACAGGCACGCGCCACCATGCCCAGCTAATTTTTTGTAGTTTTAGTAGAGACGGGGTTTCACCGTGTTGACCAGGATGGTCTCGATCTCTTGACCTCGTGATCCACCCGCCTCAGCCTCCCAAAGTGCTGGGATTACAGGCTTGAGCCACCGGGCCCAGCCTGAAACCCCGTTTTTACTAAAAATACAAAAAAAATTAGCCATGTGTGGTGGCACACAACTGTGATCCCAGCTACTCAGGAGGCTGAGGCAGGAGAATCACTTGAACCTGGAGGCGGAGCTTGCAGTGAGCTGAGATTGTGCCACTGCACTCCAGCCTGGGCAGGGTCCTAGATAATTTAAGCTCCACGAAATTAAACAAGGGGGATGTATGACCAATTTATTTTTAATTGACTATAAGAATTTCCTCATTGACGTACCTGAAATACAGTTCCTGGCACACTGAGTGAATACAGCTTTTCATATTTAACAGCCCACTTCCTCCTCATGCTTAGACTTTCCTCTTTTTCAGCCCACATTAATAAAACATCTTTAATCTTTAATACTCTTCTCAAATGACAACATTAAAATCCTGAGCTTGACAACCCTTCCCAACATCTTCAGACATTTGTGAAATACCTTGTTTTTTGAGACCAAGTTTCACTCTTGTTGCCCAGGCTGGAGATGCAGTGGTGCAATCTGGACTCACTGTAACCTCTGCCTCCCTGGTTCAAGTGATTCTCCTGCCTCAAGCTCCCAAGTAGCTGGGATTATAGATGCCTGCCATCACGCCTGGCTAATTTCTGTATTTTTAGTAGAGATGGCATTTCACAATGTTGGCCACGCTGGTCTCGAACTCCCAACCTCAGGTGATCCACCTGCCTTGGCCTCCCAAAGTGTTGAGATTACAGGTGTGAGCCACCACCAGCCAAAATATTATTAATTCTAAACCAGTTTCTTTAAGATGTTCCCAATTTCACCTCCAGTCCACTTAAAAAAAAAAAAAGATAGGCTCTGTCACCCAAGCTATAATGCAGTGGCGTGATCATAACCTTCAACTCTTGAGTTCAAGTCACTCTCCTGCCTTGGTCTCCCCAATAGCTAGAACTCCTGGCCTCAAGTGATCCTTCCACCTCAGCCTCCACAGAGGGTCTATTATGTTTTGATATTAGCCATGGATATATTTAACACAAACATTTACTATTAACCATCAATTTTTCTTATGCTTCAGCGTTAAGTTCATCATAAACTTGGTATTATTTAGTTCACAATGGTAGACCTGAATTTATACTTAATATTGAGTTCTAATTTAAGTTTCTTACAGAGATGCTTTTGGGTATTTACAATTAAAAGCAATTCAATTTATCTTAGACTAAGGATTGAAAATTGGTGAAAGCTTTTAAGGCACTTACTTTAAATTGTTTTACAAAAACTGGGACAAACTTTTGTCCAGGGATGCTTCCCCCAGCCACCTGGTATTTAGGTTCACACAAAACATCTAACTGAAACACATTTTCAATGTTGCATACTCAAGAGACAAAAAGCTAAAAATCTGATCCTATGTATTCAACCTCTTATGATTCAAACAATGGTTAACAATCTATTACAAGATACATTTTACACAGTATAACTGTCTTGCTATATTTTCCCAGCATATCTCCAGGAAATATGTTGTAAGAGTAATGGAAAACACATTATAAAAAACCAAAACCAACAACCCAAATATGTAAAGATGTCAATTTGAATGGTTTATAAAATTCTTTACCGAGTAAAAACAGCATGGTCCTTCTGATCTAACACAATGATTATATCTCCTGGCTCCAGTCCTGGTTCTTGGTCTCCTTCACCATGGAATGTTATCTTCTGGCCATCTTTCATGCCTTAAAACAAAACATTAATTTTATACTCTTAAGGTCAGAATCATAAAATCTACACATAGATGTTTGTTTATGAATAAAAATCACAGAAATGACTAAGAAATCCCACTTTCTTAGTAGTTTAGTCCAATTTGTGCCTGAAGAAAGCTATCATAGTGGGGAACACAAACTTGAGAAGCAAGGACCAGCTTTCAAGTCTCAGGGTTGCTATTCATTGGCTGGATTGCTCTGGGAAAGTAAGCTGCATATCCTACCCAAATTTCAACTTTCCCACACCTACACCTCATTATGATTGTCAAGTGTATTAACTAAACAGTTATAAGATGGTACTAAACCAGTGACTGGCAAACACTGGTTATAACCAAAAAATGTTAATTATTTCAATTTCATTACTTGTAAGAACATATCAAATTACTTAAGTCTAACAGCAATGTAAATCAAGACCCTTCTCACTCATGTAGTATTTATATATATGAAACTAGAAATATTTAAAATCAAGATTCTTGAGATAGGCTATTGCTGTTGCCTAGGCTGGAGTGCAGTGGCACAAACATGGCTCACTGCAGCCTTGATCTCCTGGGCTCAAGTGATCCTCCCACTTCAGCCTCCTGAGTAGATAGGACCACAGGCCAGCCATATATATATATATATATATATATATATACACACACACACACACACACATATATATATTTTTTTTAAATAGAGATGGAGATTCTCATTATGTTGCTCAGGCTGGTATTGAACTCCTGGGCTCAAGGGATCCTCTTGCCTTGGCCTCTTATAGGGTTAGGATTATAGGTGTGAGCCACTGTGCCTGCCCAAAATTCGTATTTTTGTGTAAGAACTATTCAGTTTGGCCAAGCATGGTGGCTCACACCTGTAATCCCAGCACTTTGGGAGGCAGAGGCGGGCGGATTGCCTGAGCTCAGGAGTTTAAGACCAGCCTGGGCAACACGGTGAAACCCCGTCTCTACTAAAATAAAAAAAAATTAGATGGGCGTGGCAGCATGTGCCTGTAGTCCCACCTACTTGGGAGGCCAAGGCAGAAGAATTGCAAGAACCCGGGAGGCGTAGGTTGCAGTGAGCTGGGATTGTGCCACTGCACTCCAGCCTGGGCAAGAGAGCAAGATTGCATCTCAAAAAAAAAAAAAAAAAAAAAAAAAAAAAAAAAAAAA